ACTTGCAGGACAGCAGCGTTCGTGGTGGCGTTGCTTGCGATAGCCTCAGCGTGGAAGCAGTTCAGTGTTCCCTCAATGTGGATAAATACAGACGGCATGCTCGTGTAATAGCACACTGGGACACTGTGCAAACAGACCACTGCTGTCAGAGGTGACATTTGAGAATCTTACAGGCAAATTGGGCAGCGAATGAAAGCAGACCCAGGAGAATACATAGTGTGAGTCTCCACTGATTGAAAGCTCAGAAACATACAAACTCTAATCCACATTGCTGGTTCTGTCAGGGTGGTGACAGGGGGAACCAAGGTATGGGGAGGGAACAGAGGGAGTCGGGGGATGCTTGCACAGGTGTGCTTACTTTTGAGAATTACTGAGTGGTGTGTTTTGTATGTGTGTGATACTTCGATAATATGTTTATTTTTAAAAACAAACTGGGTGGCAGGAAACCTGGATTCTGGTCCGGACTGCCACTAACTTGTGAGTGACTCAAGCACTGACATTTCCCTGACTCTACTTCCGGGAGTCCGATGACTGGTACAAGTTAGTGGTTTCCTTTCTGTTGTAGCCACGGAGTCATCTGTTCAAACAGGACTTTATTTTAAAATCTGACTAATAACAAAAAAAGTCAGACCAGGGGCAGGCACTGTGACATAGTGCCATAGTGCTTAAGCCACCACTGGGGACACTTGTATCCCATACTGGATGCTGGGATTCAAGTCCCACATTTGCTTCCGATCCAGCTTCCTGCTAATGTGCGCTGCGGGGGCTGCAGGTGATGGCTCAAGGTCTTGAGTCCCTGTAGCCCTCATGAAGAACCCAGATGGAGTTCCAGACTCCTGGTTTTGGCCTGGCCCAGCTTTGGCTGTTGTGTCTTTGGGGGAGTGTCCTTGCACATGGAAGATCTCTCTGCCTCTGTGTTTCTCTTCTTCTTCTTCATTTTTTTTTTGGTCCCTCTTTCAAATAAATGAAAAATAGATTTTTTTAAAAATGAAAAAAAATATTTAAAAGTAGACCTAGTGACACTGATGAATTCAGGAGAGGAGGGACAGACTGCTGCTGTTGGCCAGGGCTCCAGAAACTAAGCAGGGGCCATCCTGCCTTTGATGAACTTCCTCCCCGGGAGGTGACCTCCCAGGGCCTGGCCGCCCCTGAGATCCTGATAGTGCAGTGTTCTGTTTCAGTTCTTAATTGTTCATTCTGTAGCTTCCCGTGTGGCAAATTTCTTAGCCCTACAGTAAACTCTTTACAGGGTGGAGCTTTTCTTTTCATTCTTTTAAGATTGATTTGTTTATTTGAAAGGCAGAGTTATAGAGAGACATTCATTCATTCATTCATTATTTCATTTACATTTAAATGGCTTCATGACTTCTTAAGGTCTTATTTTTCTCTGGATTGTGACCTATTACTGCTGTTATTTATTTCATTACTCAGATTTCAGCAGATTTGGCCAATGGAAAACCCCTTAAAGTACCTTCTTAAAGCCTTTTCTTCGTTAATGTGTCTCTGTCATCGTCTCATTAACTTGTATTTCAACATGATTGTTTCCTGTGCTTCTAGTCTTAAATAGTGATCAGGCTGTATAATGGCCCAACGCTGAAGCCTGCTACTGTGGTTTGGCTATGGTGTGAGTGTGTCCCCTGGGGGTAACATGTTGAAATTCAATCCCCATGGTAGGGTATTTGAAGAGGGTGGAAAGTTGATATGACTAAAGTGTTCAGAGGTAAGGCTTTGGGAGGTGATTAGGATTGGATAAGTTCATTAGGGTGAAGCCCCTGTGATTGAAGACTGGTGACTTCATAAGAGAAGGGAGACCAGAAAACATGTGCATACACACATGGGTGCTCCCTGTCTCGTGGCGTGTATGTGATGTCCTGGGGCTGCCTCAGGAATCTGTGAGATCCTCCAGACTGGAAGTGAAGTGTTTTGTGCAAAGTCACAGAGTTGGGGAGGGTAGGGGAGGTAGAGTTGAGATGGGGGCCCAGGCCCGCACCGAATCACAGGATCCCCCATTTGCAAGGCTAGTAGAGGCCAGCTAATTTGATTTACCACTGCATGGAAACCCTTCCATAAGGTTTCCGACCTATAGGCATCTGACTGCTGTTGGGAGTCTTCATGGGGTTGGTGCTCACCATCCCTGTGGCCCATTGCTGTCTGTTGTACTGGGACAGCATCTCCTTGTACCTTCAAACTGTCCAGTTTCTGTTCATGGGAGCAGCACAGTGCAAGACAACTGTCCTTGTAAGTAGCTGTCATTTTATCACATAATCTTTACCTCATGTCCAGTTCTTTAGCTGTTCTCTGCACATGGATGGTTTCTGGGTGGTTCAGACATCCCCATCACCTTTCTATGGAGATGTATGATCTGCTGGGATCCCCCTTAGACGTGGTCTTTTAGAACTGAATATGATTTTTTTTCCCACCAATGATTACAGACAGTATGAAGCCTATTCAGAGTTAGTAGTATGCATTTAAAGATCCTTCATGTCTTTTCATGCCTTGCTAGCTAATTTCTTTTTAGCCACTCTCTCTCTGGTCTCTCTGCCTCTCAAATAAATAAATAAGTAAATCTTTTAGAAGAAGATTTATTTATTTGAAAGAATTACAAAGAAAGGAGAGAGAGAGATCTTCTGTTCACTGGTTCACTTCCCAAATGGCTGCAATGGCTGGAGCTGGGCCCATCTGAAGCCAGGAGCCAGAAGTTTCTTCCAGGTTTCCCACATGGGTGCAGGGCCCCAAGCACTGAGACCATCTTCCACTGCTTTCCCAAGCACAGCGAGCCTAGATTGGAACTGAAGCAGCCGGGACATGAACAGAGAGCAACATTGCAGTCAACTGCTGCGCCGTTGAGCCGGCCCCATTTTTCTGTGTTTTGACAATTATGAATAAAACTGCTATAAACATCTGTGTGCACATTATGAATTGGATTTTCAATCCCCTTATGTGGCACAGGGCAACGTGAATTACAAATATTTTATATTTTTAAAAAGTCACTCCTCCCCTCCCCCTGTTGGGTGGGTGAGTGTGGAGGGTTTGGTCTCACTGTTTGGTGTCTCCGTTCACTCTCACACATGGGATTTTTCACTGGAACGAATAATGACACTTTGTGTCTAATTAGCAACTTTGGACTGCTTGCAGCCTGCCACAGCTTGTTACCATGCTCATCCTCTCCCCCGGGAGGAGGTTGGCACTAGCACGGTTTCAACTTTCAGTGCTCCTAGTTGGCACGGGATCGTGGGTGTTGCTGCTCTTCCAGCTGCATTTGGGATCCATGGGAAAAGGGTTCGGGGACACTGGCCAGCTGTCATGGAGAAAAACCACCTCCGAGGTCCTTTCTCCAGGGCTGGGCCGAGCCCAGTGATTTCACCTCTGTAAGCACCTTGCCAGGCATTTGGTGGGTCTTCCTAAATGTCAGAGGCTCATTTTAAGTAACTGCCCTGCTCCTGTCTCAGTCCACAATGAAAGCCTTTCTGTTGCTCTTGCCTTCCAAACAGCTCCATTGTTCTGGGTGAGATGGGCTGAGTGGCAGTTTGATCTTTCCCTGCCTTAACCCCGGGTTACAGCAGGTCCACAGGGAGTCAGTCCCCTGGAGAGCTGTCTGTGGTCTGTGTGCAGTGTAAGGGAAGCGGGGGGCTGGGTGGGGAGGGGACAGAGACCCACAGACCAACCCTAACCGGCCTTCTTCCTTTACCCCTGAAATGCTTCCTTGACCTCTGTAATCTCCAGCCCTCCCCTCACTCCTTCACAGAAAACACAGGGGGTTCACAAGTGTCTTGAAGGTATTTTTAGCTTTGATAAGGCCCAGGTGCCTGACTGTATCTAAAAGTCCTCCATCTGCCCTGGTAGTTCTGGCTGTACGTACATCACCGTGGGTGGACAGGGCAGTTGGTGAAGCTCCGGAGGGGACCGTCTAGGGTGAAGATGGGGCCATTTACCCAAGGAGGAGAAAGTCGGGAGGAAGGCTAAACCAGTACATTCCTGGATTGTAGCTGCATTCCCGTCATTGACAAGGGTTTTGGAGTGAAGAGGTTTTGGAGTGAAGAGATTATGTCTTCCATGAGGTTGCTACCTTCATTTACCCCCCAGGGCTGCAAAGGTTGCAAGGGTTTCTAGCCGGCTGTCACAAAAATAAAACAAATGTGAATTCATCCTCCTCCCCTGGTTAGATATCCCCAGCGGAGGGGGCCTAACCTTAACTTCCCTTTGCCTACTGCTTATCTGGGGCAGGAGGTGACTGGGGAAGAACCCTCTCTTTGTCTTGCACACCCAGGGCTATTGACATGCAGGCAGGGAAGGCGCCTGGTGTGCGAATAAAGCTCATCTAGGATCTCTTGGGAACATCAGCTGCCTGGTGTCCTGAGAGCTGACCTTGGACAAGAAATTAAGATGGGGCAGACCGGTCCCTGCTTCCTCCCTTAAGTTGGAGCCAGAGGAAAGGTGGAAGAATTCTGCCTCTCGGTGGGCTTGCCCAGCCAGTAGGTGTGTGCAGAACCCCAGAAGCCCCCTGCCCCTTGGATGGCACGGATCGTAGTGGGTGATGACTCGCAGGTACGATCAGGAAGCAGCTCTGGCTGCCCCGAAGCGCGCTGTAGGAATGCGGAGTACTGAGACCGCACAGGTAGAAAAAGGCCGCATCAGTGGGATTCGTGTTAACCAGCATCCCAGGGGATTTGGTCGCGAGGGTCCGCAGACTACACAGGATGGCGCCGCGCCCCTACTCTCCCCTAGCACAGCAGAGATGAGGGGTCAGAATTAATGGAGGAAGCTGTCCTCAGGATGGGGTAACTGGAGTGAGAGGTCAGGCAGGGTTGGGCGTTCTCCAGCGCCGGGGCTGGGTTGCAGAAGCGGTGCGCGCTGTCGTCTCCCGCCCGCAGGGGGCACCCACAAGCCGCCCTCTGGCCAGCGCAGCCTCCTCCCCACTGGAAAAGGGGCTGGGACGGGAAGAATGCGGCCCGCCCCGAGGCTGACGTGCGCCGCGACTCTTAAAAGGCCGGGCAGTGAGTGGGGCGTCCCGGCAGAGCTGGAGAGCAGGCGAGCGGGAGCGTGGCTGTCACTGCGCCCGAGCATCCCGGGGCTTTCTGGCACAGACGCACCGGCCGTGCGAGCAGCCTGCAGCCCGCGCCCTTCGCCGCGATCAGCGGAGCACTCGTGGCGGGCCAGCGCCCGGGACTTGAGCACAAAGCACGTTTCCCCAAGCAGCAGCAGAAGCAGCAGCAGCAGCTCAGCGAGCGGCTGGCCGCACGCCGGCGCACGCATCCCCCTCTTCTTTGTTCCGGGGGTTGGCGGCCACTCTCGTCCCCACGTCGGATTCTCCTCCTGGGGGTGGTGGGCCGCCGGGCTCAGCTGCGAAGATGCCCTTGGAGTTGACGCAGAGCCGGGTGCAGATCTGGGTGCATCGACTACCGGCCCTCGTTGCCCAGATGTGAGTGCGATCGCGCGGGAGCAGGAATTGCAAGTCCGCGCCGCCGCGTGCAGGGCTGGGCCATTGTGTGGGGCCGCTTTGTGCGGATGCCCCGCTGCCGGAGGCGCGTTCGTGCCGGCCCGGGCGGCGGCGCGGGGGCGGCGGCTGGCTGCGGCTCCCGGGTCCGGCGGCGGGGGCGCTATGGCCCCGGAACCGGGGAGCTGGCCTGTGGGGCGCTGAATCCGGAGAGGCTTAGAGGAACTTTCTGAGCCTGCCTCGAATTTGAAAACCTGACTTTAAGTTTCAAATCGCTGGTAACAAACACCCCAGCCCCTGGGCGCTTCTGCCTAAGGATCATTAAGGTGGTATAATAGGAGCGGCTAAGACCCTTTTGCATCACTACCCCCCCTTGCCCGCATCCGCTCATCTGCTCTGTACCATCCACTCTGTACCTCAGCTATATATACACCTCCCTTTTACAATAAAGTGAGACCCTGCTTCGACTGGGCTCCACACCGCGCCTGATTGTCCCCCGGGTTTGGGGAAGGCTGAGTGGTGGGTGGCACACTTTCCCTCCTCAGTCAAGGCAAGCTGCGGGCAGCCTGCCCAATTCTCCGGCGGTGGCGAGTAACAGTCACCGCACTCGCCGAGCCTGGGCTGCGAACACGGACGCGGCGGAAAGCGTGCGCCTCCGGGGAGGCCGGGCCGCGCGCCCCGCCCCGGGCACCGGCGGCGCGACTGCGGCCAAGGGGCGCGGCCGTCTGCGCCTCCGCCTCTCTCGGGTCTCCGGCGTCCGCCGTCTCCTGCCTCCCTCCGATTTCCATCTGCCCCCTTTCTAAACATGTCTCCTGTCTGCTTTTTCTTCGTGCTCGCATTTCTCCCCCTTAACTCTCTCTTTCTCCGTGCGCCCCTGTGCGAGTATATTTCTCGATATTCTCTCTTTTCACTTCTCTTTTCCCTGTCGATGTCCATCTCTTCCCTCTCTGCTCCGGAGACTGCGGGGCGCCCTAAGCGGCGGGGGCTAAGGGGCGACATCACAATCCCTGGGGTCTCCGTGGCGCTTGGTTGAGGGGCGGGCGCGCGGCGGTGACCGGGGGTTGGTGGGAGGTCACGCGTGCACGCGTCCCCCGGGGCTCGGAATGTGCGGGCGCCTCCCGCCGCCGCTCCTGTCACCCCGATGCGCTCTCGAGAGGCCTCCCTGGTTCTCCACCGCCAGCTGCCGCCTGCAGCCTCCGGAAAGGACGGTTGGACTGGCCAGGAGGTGTCCAGAGTACCATCGTGTGGCCGAGGGCCAGTTAGCAGGTGGGCATTTTGCCCAGGCCGGGCCGTAGCCGCAGAGGGGACTGTCAAATCCAGGTGCAAACCCTGGAGACGGCTTCCGGTCATCTGAGGGCACCTGAGCTCCAGGTGCTGGCCGGGCGTCTCCACTGCCACGTTTTTTAGGAGCGCCACCGCGGAACGTGACAGCCCGCGCTGGGCTTCTGCCAGCCTGAATCACCGCCCTTCCCATGCCAGGACCGGTGCAGGGGAAGTGAGCCCTGCGCCTGCCTGGGGTGCGCCCTGGGCCGAGGTCCTCCTGGACCCGGAGGTTTGAGGGCAAGTGCGCAGGAGACCTCTGCTTCTCAGCCTTCTTGGCGCAGAAGCCGAGGGCTGGGGCTCGGCAGGTCTGCCGCGGATCTGGCCCTTCGAAACGCGCTCGCTAAACCGGAGCTGCCCAGGGTCTTCCTATGTAACCTGTGGGTGGTGGGGGATGCACCCCACTCCAGGGTTCCAGGGGGAGATGTGGCCAAGGCCAGAGGGGGAACACCCCCCCCCTTTCGGTTTTGAATAAAACAAGTGTTATCCGTTGGGCGCTTGGTAAACCTCAGTGGGTGGCACAAAGCAAGGACTGGATTTTTATGTCTGTAAATACTTGGGATGGTATGTGTGCCCTTACACACACTGGCTTGTTTCTCTCCCGAGGTTGCTGTTTGCACCGCCTTAGCTCCTAGTGATTTCTCAGAGAAGCCAGGGTGCGGCCATGCATCCTCCTCCAGGCTTGAGAAAAACCCATCCATTAGACTCCATCAGACTGCACGTTGCACACTCGGATGAGAAATTTGCCTAAGAATCCCTGTCGGATGCCGGCGCCATGGCTCAATAGGCTAATCCTCCACCTACAGCACCGGCACACCGGTTCTAGTCCTGGTCGGGGCGCCGGATTCTGTCCCGGTTGCCCCTCTTCCAGGCCAGCTCTCTGCTGCGGCCAGGGAGTGCAGTGGAGGATGGCCCAAGTGCTCGGGCCCTGCACCCGCATGGGAGACTAGAAGAAGCACCTGGCTCCTGGCTTCGGATCAGCGCGATGCGCCAGCAGCAGTGCGCCAGCCATGGCGGCCATTGGAGGGTGAACCAACGGCAAAGGAAGACCTTTCTCTCGGTCTCTCTCACTGTCCACTCTGCCTGTCAAAAAAAAAAAAAAAAAATCCCCTGTCGGAAGCCTTCAGACCTGGGGCGGGGGGGAGGAGTTGAGGGGAGAGTTATGCCTACAGTCGATGGATTAAGTTTCTTGTCCAGCTGCAAAGCCTGCACCTCCTGTCAGACACAAACCAGAACGGAGGGGAGACTAACTGAATTTGTGAATCAGCTTACCTGAAGCGAAGTTAAGCTCTTGATTGGCAGGGGGACCGACCCTTCCTTCTGATTCTCCTTTATCATCACAAAAAAAAATCATGTGGCTCTGTGTTTGGGTCCCTACTTGTTGAGGTGAGTTACTTATGCACCGAGAACTTCAGCATCCTTGTCTGTCGTGTGGGTTGCATTACTGTTTATCTAATGGGGCTGTGAGGAGTCCCATGTAGCGTGGTGGGGCTGAGAGACAGTGCCTGGCACTTAGTAAGCCTTAAATAAAACGTTGCCATCATCAGCGCAGCAAAGTGGATATTCATCCGGGTCATTACAGGGCTGTCTTCAACAGGGAGCAGAGACAGCACCTGAAGGTACCAAGGGTTTTTCATACCTACAGCGGAATGAGACAAGCTGCTAATTTATCTTTGCTCAGGATCTAGAATAGTGGGATCAGAGGTCCATGTGGTACTCAGATAAAGACAGAAAGATTCTCATCTTGGAAATGGGCCACGTGCATGGTATTCTGCTTTAAGGAGATGCACGGATGCCCTAGGAGATGCCTGTCTTGCCCCTGAAGTTCATAGCCGGTGATTCTCAGCCTGGGTTGCACGTTAGACTCAGTTGGGAGGGGCTAGGCGAGGGGCATAGTGAAAAAGAACTCCTACTGGAGCCTCAAGCCTGGTCACTACGTGCATCTTACATTTTAGAAGCGCCCTGGGTTTGGCTGCTGGTGGAGAGCCCCTCATTGAGGAGAGAGCGCTTGCAGGGTTCCATGCGAGGAAGACCTCAGCTGAGTCCTGATCCACCACGTGCTGCTTTTGCAGTGTGACCTCTCCCTGCTCTGCATCACACTGTGCTGTTGTATTGCCTCCTAAATCTGTCAGTGATCATTAAAATATCCCATGTACCACTGCGTGTTGCCGGTTAGAACTATGCGGCTACAAAGGCCATTCATTAGGCCTGAGATTGGTTTGATGTTAGTTAAAATATGCATGCAAAGTAATGCCTGTGCATGGTAACTATCAAATAGTGCAGAAGAGATATGGAAAGAAGTGTCAATTAGATGCATTCTTCCCACTGTTGGAAATCCTCCACTGAGGCTAACTCATTGAGATGCGAGTCTTCATATTAGGTCAACTTGAGGACACCATTGATGCCGGGAGAGTGGTTTATATCTGGTTGCCCACAACCAGTTGTCCCACATCTCTCTGTGTGCTCATGTTGCCTGCCTTCTGGTCTCCGGCATGTTAAACCCATAGGGTGCTCATGTGGCTGCAGAGTTTTGTCCTCATCTGGTGGTAGTGCTTTGAGGTGGTTACTGTAGACCAGCACAGCCTTGGTTCCCTTCGGCAGCTATGGGATGGATCCCTTCTGGAGACTCATCTTTCTGTGAATGAAGCCTAGCTCACTGACTTGTAGAAAAGAAGACGTGAGTTTGCATCTTGTGTTTTGAGGCTAGCATCACACAGAGCCTCTGAGTAGAAGGAAGTTCGCAGGAGGTACAGGAGCCAGAGCCGAGGGTCTTCCCAACCACTGTCTGTCTTCTGAGAATAAGTTCAGGGCATCCGTGGGGTGGATGAGGGCAGATGTCCTTGTCAGAGAGGGCAGTCACTTAATCTAGGCAGGAGAGCTGGAGTTGGAACCCTGGGTGCCAGCCTCCCAACCCAGCTGTGACACAGACCAGCCCCGTCCAGATGGTGGGGTGTAACTCGTCCGTCTGGCTGATTCTTTCCCTAATCGGCAACCTCAGTCAACATTGCCTGCAGCTCACGTGCTCACCAGCTAACCTGGTTTGGTTTGATGACCTGCAGGGGGACTGGAACAAGTAGCCAGTTTGTGTTCAGTAGCAGTAAAATGGTACGACTGGCTTGTGAACAGCCCAGTCTTAGCTCCAAGGTACTCTGACACTGACCCCGATTCATCCAGCCATCCCCCAGCTCACCCGGCACCCAGCAAGTGTGACAAATGGCCAAGTCAATGAACATGATGACTTCTTAAAGTTGAGGGTTCGCTCCTGGTACTTGGTGACTTCCAGTGGTCAGAGCCTTAACCATGCAGCAGCCTTATAGCCTGAGCCTGAGCCTGCCCCACCCTGATGGCAAATCAGGGTGTGCATTCTGTTAACCCAGCCAGTGGTTTTTAAATGATGGCTTCCTTCCCCTGTAGCGTAGTGAACATCTGTGTGCTCCCCTAGGCATCCTCAAATTGACGTCTAACACTGACATCTCAGCATAGCTACACTTGAAAAACTTGTTTTGTCAGCTGTGTCGCATGACATATGCAGGCGCTCCTCCGAACAGCTTGTGTGAAACACGGTGTTTATTCCGCGATCACTGAGCTCTTGAGGAAGACAGGAAGGAAGATGAGAGTGGTACACAGCTGTATCTCTTGATGGCAGAAGTATCGAGAAAGAAGGCAGGAAGAAACCCAAGGTCTCCCTTCAGGTAGCGACAGGGCCACTGAGTTGAGTTGTGCTTGAGTTAAAAAAAAAAAAAAAAAAAAAGCAGGGAGGGTTGAGGGAGAATGAGACTCAAAAGATTTAGTCAGAAGGACTGTGGTTGCCTCCTGAGAGCCGGGAGTGCCCAGGAGGAGGGACGGTGGCAGCCACCCTGGGCAGGCTCTTGCCACGTCTTTGAATCTTAGGCATGAAGCTAAGGAATAAGGAGTGATGGTTTAGCAGGGCTTGAAATTCAGCCCAAACTTCTGCCTTGTAGCGTTCACTCTGTTGTGTCTTTTTGGATTTGTTTGTTAGTATTATTTTATTTTATTATTTTTTGTTCCCGAAGTGTTACTGGCAGAAGATTTGTTCTTGTGATTAGTGGATGGATTGTAATCTCGGATTTGGGACATCAGGTGGCTTCTGTCTTCTGTCTCGGCTGCCTTGACCTGTTCCCATGTGTGAGTGCAGCTGTGTGTGTGTCTGATGGTCTGTCTCTGTGCATGTCTAGGTGGCTCAGAGGAGCCAGCTGTCTGCTTGTCCCTGGGGCATGAGAGCCCTTGGTGCTTGTTTGCTTCACTAAGGCGATGATGATCCCTGCTGCCCCCCTGTGGGCAGTGGCAAGCTGCTGTTTTCTAGGAACGCATTTGTTGCAGGGCTGCTGGACGCCGAGGAGGGCAGCCAAGGGCTTTCTGCAGCCCCCTGAGCATCTCCTGATCCCCTGATGGCCTTGTTTCCTCCCCCTTGTCACCCAGGTTACAAATGGTGCACAGATACTAGCAAGGAACCGGAACTCCCTGAGCCTGCAGGGTTAGGAGGCAAGCATAGAATTACGGTGGTGTTTGGCAATGGACCTCAGTTGGGGACCTCTGCTGGGGGTCCAGCCTTAGACAGGGGCCTCTTCCCCTCAGCTGTGCACGGGATAGCAGCTCTGCTTCCTCTGCACCCTGGCGCTTGCCTGCGGAGGCTCATCCGTGCGTCAGAGCCTCTGTCCAAATCTGACATTGGCCTAGATCGGGTGTTATGGCTTCCAAAGCTTCCCCTGCAAGCCGTGAAGCCTGTGCCTGGGATGTGATGAGCACAGCTGGGCTGACCGCGACAGCCCGAGAGCGTGGGGCAGCACCGCCCGGGCTGGACTTGGCACATGGCCCTTGGCCTGTGAGCGTGCTTGTCACTAGGATGCAGGAGTCGCCAGAGTCTCAGGCCTTCTGTTTCCTGAACAGGCTGCTTGTGGCTGCTTTCTGAGAATCCGGGGGAGATCCCGGTCCCTGGTGGTATGTTACAGAAACCTCTGAGGAACATGGGATCGTGGTTGAGTGGTGGACGCCAGGAGGGTACTCAGAGGCCACAGCATCTCTGGTGGTGCCAACCTCTGCCTGGGGCTTAGTGCCTGGCACGGCTGGCTCCCTGGCATCCATCAGCCTGGGAGCAGAAGGTGGTGGTCAGGGAAGGGGCTGAGACTCTCAGGGATACCGGGATTTACCCGTCCCCTGGAGAGAACCAGTGTTCTGCATCCCCCGACCTGCTTTGATCTGGTAAAACCAATCGCCTTCTTTATAAAAATCTCTTTGAGGAAGGCCGTGGAGACCTCCTGTGTGGAGGCTAGGAAGCTGGTGCTTGGGTTCCCTCTGAATCCTGGCAGGTCCAGGGCCCAACTCCCACGGCCCTCTGCTACCTGCTGCCTCAGTTTGTGTACTGCGATTGGAACCTACTCCGCTCTCCTGTTGCCATCATCTTCCCTGGTGTTGGGGTCCCTTCATTACACCCCCAGGAGAGGAGCATTTCTACTGTGGGTCGCCTACTGGGTGTAGGGTTTTCTGTGTCGGGTCAGGAATTTGGCTTCCAGACTGCACTTGCCAAGGGTAGCCTAAAGTGAGGTTGAGCTGCAAGGGGTCATTGTGGAGCTCTGGCCACTAGGGGGCCGAGGACCCATTGGATTATAAAATGTTGTGGGGGTGGGGGGGCTTGGGATGAGGAATGAAAGAATTCTGATGAAATTCTTTGAAGTTTATTGTTGGAGGGAGGTCTGTGCTCAATAACTTCTGCCACGTGACTGGTGATCCCCTAGTGAAAATGTTATTTCCTTAGATCTCATCTACATTTATTATTTATTTGGAGAAAGAGGGAGAGAGAGTGTGCACAGGCTCCTATAGGGCGGTTCACTTCCAAAAACCTGCAGAGGCCTGAGAGCAGGTGCAGTAGCTGGGAGCTGGGAATGAGTGGCAGGAACCCAATGACTTGAGCCATCATTGCCGATTTCCAGGGTCCACATTAGCAAGAGCTGGAATTGGGAGCCAGAACAGGGTATTGAACTTGGGTACTCTGCTGTGGGATACAGGCATCCTAACTGCCCCCCCCATTTATTTCTAATTGACACATGATAGTTGTATGTATTTATGGACTACAGTGTACTAACTCAGCGCATGTATACAATGTGTAAATCGGGGTAATTATTATTTCCATCTCCTTATTTCTAGGAACCTAGCTAGAAATGTTTGGAGCCTCCTGACTCGTCTCAGATCTATATAAAGTAGATAATAAATGATGATAAATTGTAGTCACCCCATTGTGCTGTAGAACACTTGATCTTATCTCTCTCTTGGTTGTCCTTTCCAGCCTGTGGGCCGAAGCTGACCAACTCCCCCACAGTGATTGTCATGGTGGGCCTCCCAGCCCGGGGGAAGACGTACATCTCCAAGAAGCTGACACGCTACCTCAACTGGATTGGCGTCCCAACCAAAGGTGAGGCCGGGTCCTGAGACTAGAGGAGTCAAGCCGTGGGCTACGATCCTGCGTGCTCCTGGTCCTCACCTTCAGGGCTACCGTGGTTGCTGAGTTCCCCACCCGCCACTGCCTGACTGATTTCATCTCCTTCCTGAAGCCTTCTCTGGCCACCCAGTCCCTGCATATCATTGCCCTTGCACTTGGTTGAACCCTCTTCTGCTAACCCTCCTCCAGTGCTCTGTGGGTGAACCTGCCCGGTCCTCCCAGCTGGAAGTATCTTACATATGGGGACTGTGGGTTTTTTTTTTTTTTTCATGTCTCTGGCTGCCACCTGCTGAGAGATCCCGGGAGCTATTAATGTGTCCCCCTGCTGGCCGCCTGCCTGAGCCTCTTAGCAGAACCCATGGTCTCTGTATTAGCTCTATCGAGACCACCTCTGTTCTTATAATCCCAGTCTCTAGTCTACAGCCTATGGAGCCCCAGGCCTTGTGGTGCAGCCTCACGTATCGTGCAGGCAGCAGTGGGCTCTGTGTTTCTGGAGGAAGCCGGGCTGCTTCCCAGCCCATTGCTTCTAGGGAGCAGGTGGTGACGCTGGACTGGGACGCTCACACTCTTAGTTTCCATACTGGATCATCATCTTATTCAGGCTGGTGTTTGTTCATTTCCTTTCCCCCTTTGATTGGGACTGTGCTCCCAGCTGGAAGTTGGCCCCTTCCTCCTGCTAGGTCACCCAGGGCTGTCCTTGACTTTTCCCATCCACAGTGTTCAATGTGGGAGAATACCGCCGGGAGGCTGTGAAGCAGTACAGCTCCTACAACTTCTTCCGCCCTGACAATGAAGAAGCAATGAAAGTCCGCAAGTAAGCTACGACGAGCTGCCCCGGTGGGCTGCGGGTTTGGGTTCGCTTTGTCTCTTAGCCGGGCTCCATAGGAGGAAGGGAAAGGCTGGCCTGCAGAGTGGCTCTCCGCTGGTGGCCATCAGATCTGTCAGGTGTTGGGACAAGCCTCTCTGCCTGTCCGAGACTCTGCAGCTTTGATCTGTTCCCAGAGGGTCTGCCCAAGCTAACAGAGACAGATCAACAGCAGCAGCCCCAGCCCTTGAGAGCACACAAAGTCCTTTTCATTAGAATCATCTGGGTACGTTTGGAAAGGATTTCTTCTGAAGCAGGAGGCGATTGGGAGCCCCAGTGCAATGTGCTCAACCCTGACTGCACTTTAGAAGCCACCTGGGAAGCTTGTCAAGGTCTCGGTGCCAGGCCCCACCCGGGAGCATCTGTGGGTGGGCTCTGGACGTCTGTTTTGTAACAGCCCTCCAGAGGGATGGTTCCAGTGTGCAGCCAGGCCCGACAGCGCGCCCAGGCCATCTGCGCTGGACCTGATTGGAGGGCCTGGCTAGCACTGAGCAGTTTAGGAACAGAATTGCCTGTTACTGTTGGCTGGGGCCAGGGAGGGAGCTTCCTTGGGCTACCCTGGTGGAGGGGCTGGCTCTGATTGCAGCTTCTCTTTCTTGTGCATTGCAGGCAATGTGCCTTAGCTGCCCTGAGAGATGTCAAAAGTTACCTGACAAAGGAAGGAGGTCAAATTGCAGTAAGTCCGAGGCATACAGCTGGCTCACTCTGCAACGCCATAGCAGGAAGATGTTCTCAGTGGCTTGCACGGTGCTGGGAGACACTGTGGGGACATTGCAGACAGGGACAGACAGGGCCTCTGGCCTGGAGAGATGAGGGAAGCAGGTGGCTAGAAGAGCCTTTGGACTGGGTAGGGACTCAAGGACACAGCCACAGTGAGGGCTGTCACACATATGCCCAACCCCAGCCTTATGGGCAACTGGTCACCACCTTGAGGGAAGGCAGAATCTGGGATACCACCAGTGCCCAGGAGCCACTGGCCCTTCTGTGTGTTCCCTCCTGCTGGGTGTTACTGGTTGCTTCCAGCGGCCATTCCACCCCTCCCCTGCTGTCTCTGAGTGTTGGAGGCAGTGGGAGAGGGAGGGCTGCCTACAGGCACAGCCCTGGAGATGGGCAGAGCACCGTCTCTCCTGGAAGTGCCTTTCTGGACTTGTTCCTGGAAATGGCAGATTGGTGGTGTTGGTAAATACTGTTCAACTCAAGCTCAGATTCTTCTTCCCTGCCTTTCTCCCTCCTTCTCAGGTTTTTGATGCCACCAACACTACTAGAGAGAGGAGACACATGATCCTTCATTTTGCCAAAGAAAATGACTTCAAGGTGAGCCAGACTCCTTGTCTTGCTCCAGGGAGCTCAGAAGAGAGGGAGGACCTCGGGGACCAAATGACTCCCTGATTCCGTTTTGTTCCTTCGTCTGCCACTGCCTGAGCTTCGCTGTCTGAAAACAGGGCCTTCCTTGTGGCAGAGCTCTCGAGGGTGGAGAAGACCTCCCACCCGGGATGGGGCAATGGGTCCATATCTTTTTGTGTCTTTGGGAATTGATAAATGGCCTCTTTCCTCCTTGTATGTGATGCTAGCACCACAGTGATATCTAAGTTGGCCCATTGTGGTGTGATGTTTTCCTTTTATTGTCAACTTTATTTTTTTAAAAAAATGTGTTTATTTGAAAGGCAGAGGGCAACAGACAGGCAGAGAGATCTCCCATCCTTTGGTTCACTCCCTGAATGCCCAGAATAACCAGGACTTAGGCTCAAGCCAGAAGCCGGGAACTCCTGGTCTTGGTCTCCCACTGGGGTGGCAGAGACCCAACTATTGAGCCATCGCCTGCTGTCTCCTAGGGTCTGCAGTAGCAGGAAGCTGGAAGTGGAAGCAGAGCTGGGACTGCAACCTGGGACTGCAGTAGGGGCTGTGGGTATCCCAGCTGGTGTCTTGACTGCTAAGCCAAGTGCCTGCCCATAGATGTTGTTCTCTAACATTTCTGTCTGGCTGACTTCCACCAGGTGTTTTTCATTGAGTCCGTGTGTGATGACCCTTCAGTTGTGGCCTCCAACATCATGGTAAGACAACCAGCCACCCCCGCTCTTTGTGTTTGCACCTAAACCACAAGCACATCTTCGATCCAAGAAAAGTTGGGGGCCCCAGATCAGGTCCTGCAGAGTCACTGACCCCTCAGGATGAGCTGCCCCTCCCAGCTTCTGTTGTTGTCTGAGAGGTGAGAAGGGCAGAGAGCGGTTGAATGGAGCAGCCTGTCCCAAGACCTGAGCTGGCCCCACGTGGGGTCTTTGAGGATAGCCGGCAGTGCACAGCATTGGCTGGGACGTGAGACACAGCAGAGGAACGGGGATCAGTTTCTGCAGACAGCTGCAGCTTGGAGATAAGGAGCAGCTCACTCCTCCAGAAGGGCTGGGAGGCCGCAGGGCTGGTAGCTTTTGCTAGGAAGGTCTCTGGTAGGTGAGAACGGTCTGTATAAACAGCCTATAGGGCTCAGTAACCTGAAGGCAGAGGTCCCACGTCTGAGAGGAAGGGGTGTGGGGAAAAGTGTCTTCCTAGAGGATGCGTCTAATGCTCGTGCTGCGGAGCCGTCTCTGTCTCCACTACCCCGATGAGAGCGTGCTTAGCTGTGCTGAGGGTGGATGGTGCTGACACCCGTGAGTCAGGAACAGAAATGATCACTGTGAAGACTTCACTGCAGGTCACCCTCTCCAGCCTCAGCAGCTCAGAAATTTATAAAGAAAAGTTTTCCCGATAAGCAGGGAACGCCGTGCTGTTGCTGCACGTAGATGTGCATCTTGAAGGAGATGCTGAGCACACACTGGCTTCTTGGGCTTTTTCTCCAAGGCAGTGCAGTCGTGTGCAAGCCTTGTCTGAGAAAGTAGTTCATATTTCAGGCAGAGCGACCTGAATTGTGGAAAACAGGTTCAAGTGAGTTCCCGTGGGGCCACCGGAAGGGATCCAAAGTACAAGGAAACACAAGTTGCAATAATCTAAGCCAAGCGTCGTGCTAGTTCCTCTGGCTCTGCTTGTTCCACCTGGTGGTGGAGCACAGTGCGGCTGTGTGATCCTCCTCCCCAGGGAGCAGTCACCAGCGTGCCTGGGCAGGAGTTCATCCTTGATCGTGTAGTCCACTAACACAGCCTCACCCTCACCCTCTGTGTCCAGAAACCTCAGAGCACCTTGGCAAGTTAGGCCCAGGAACTTGTAAGCTGTATGTAGGAAACTGTAGTAAAATATCACAGCACGCCCTTTGCATCTGAACCGTTTTTTAGTGTAAATGTCAGCAGCTTTCATTACATTCATGTTGTGGGGAAGCTGTCACCACTCCTCACCTCCAGACTTTTTTTTTTTAAAAAGATTTATTTTATTTATTTTAGAGAGTTACACAGAGGGAGAGGAGAGGCAGAGAGAGAGAGGTCTTCCATCTGCTGGTTCACTCCCCAGTTGGCCGCAATGGCCAGAGCTGTGCTGATCCGAAGCCAGGAGCCAGGAGCAGCTTCCAGTCTCCCATGCAGGTGCAGGGGCCCAAGGACTTGGGCCATCTCGCACTGCTTTCCCAGGCCACAGCAGAGAGCTGGATTGGAAGTGGAGCTGCAGAGACTCAAAGCGGTGCCCATATGGGATGCGGGCGCTACAGGCGGCTGCTTTACCCACTGCTTTACCACTAGCGCTGGCCCCTAGACTGTCTTCATCTTCCCGTTCTGAAACCCTGTCCCTATAAAACATTAGCTCCCCATTTTAATTTTTTCAAAAATATTTATTTGAAAGGCAGAGTGTGAGAGAGAGACAGACAGACAGACAGAAAGGGATCTTCTGTCTGCTGCAATGGCGTGGCTGGGTCAAGCTGAATCCAGGAACCAGGAACTCCATCCGGGTCCCCCACATGGGTGACAAGGACCCAAGTACTTGGGCCATCTTCTGCTGCCTTCCCAGACACATGAGCAGGGAGCTGGTTTGGAAGCTGAGCAGCCAAGACTCAAACTGGCGCTTAGATCGGAGGCCAGTGTCATAGGCAGTGGCTTGACCTGCTGAGCTTAAGGCTAGCCTCTTTTTTGTTTTCAAGATTTATTTTATTTATTTGAAAGGCAGAGTGACAGAGAGAGGGAGAGACACAGAGAGAAAGAGATCTTCCATTTACTGGTTCACTCCCCAAATGACCAGAACAGCTGGGGTTGGGCCAGGCTGGAGCCAGGAGCCTGGAAATCCATTCAGTTATCCATGTCGAGGGCAGGGGCCGAAGCACTTGGGCCATCATTTGCTGCTTTCCCAGGCATGTTAGCAGGGAGCTGGATGAGAGGCAGAGCAGCCAGGAGTTGAACCTTGTGCTCCCATATGGGATGCTGGCGTTGAAGTCAGTAGCTTAACCTGCCATGCCACAACCCCGGCCCTGCTAGCTTCCCTCTGGGTTGGATCTTGGAAGAGTGGCTGCTTTGTAGTTAGGGCAATTGTTGAGGGGAAAAAGAGCACTGGCATTAACAAGTTTTGAGTTTCCCTAAAACCTACTAGTCTCCCAGGCCTAGTGTTCAGTTACAGGAGGTAGCTGAGCCTACTTTTCTTTTTTTGTGTCTGCTCCACCTACTCTTGGGATCAAAGCCCTTGCAAAGCAGTGGGCCTGGGGTCTAGTTAGAGAAGCAGCTCATTGCAGCCCGATCACAGGTGGGTGCTGCCTTTGTGGGGACAGATGGAGAAGGATCCATACAGGGCTGGGTGCATCTGTAGGAGCAGATGCCTACCCTTCTGTCACCAGCTCGGTGTGCAGAGCCCTGCAGGTGCTCCTGTGGAATTCGGCTGAACTGAGGGCCAGCCTGTGTGGTGGTCATCCGGTTATTGGCCTGATCCTGACTCGGGTGGTCTGTGCAGAGGGGTTCATTACGGCATCCTCGTGGGCTCCCTGTTTCTGCTCTTCCAACCAGCAATTCTCGGTCTGGGCTGCGGGTCCTCCCCATGTAATCATCAGGCTGACACCCCCCACCCCCCAGTTTCTTTCTTTTTTCTCTTAAATGCTGGGTCGGATAATCTTCATTCTGAACCTTTCTGTGCTTTCCCCTTTTGAAAGCCCCAAATCCTGCTTAATCTACAACAGAAAGCCTTGCAGTGTGACTCATCAGCTGCCTCTTTGTGGTATTGCAGGAAGTTAAAATCTCCAGCCCGGATTACAAAGATTGCAATTCAGCAGAGGCCATGGACGACTTCATGAAGCGAATCAGTTGCTATGAAGCCAGCTAGCAGCCCCTCGACCCTGATAAATGTGACAGGTACCTCCCCCGCGGTGACCTCCTGCAGCACAGTGGTAGGAGTGGTAGGAGCTGCCATGCCGTTAGTGTCAGACCAGACACCTACATGCATCACTGTCGCATTCCGTGGGTCTAGCCGTGTTCAAAGGCCAGCCTAGGCTCAAATGGGAGGGAAGGAATCAATGGAAGCCCGATTTGGTGAGTGCCTCCCACAGTTTCCAGAGCTGCTGCAGAACTGTGATTTGCTTTTCAATCCTTGGCACTCAGTAAATGTCAATAAATATTGGATGAAGGAACAGAATGATCTGTGGGAACCACTACCTGCCAAGTGCTAAGAATCCATCTTAAAATTTTTATAATGAAATGGAAAAAGTTCACAGAACTCCAAAAGATTTCAAAGTTCTACAGCTGTTATGCCTTTAGCCCAGATGTCTTTAACTGGCTACAAACCTAAAAAACTCACATTTTCCCCTTTTCCCTTGTTTCCTGCACTCTGAAATATGCCATAAAAAAAAACGCATTACTTCTCATATTTTTTATTTTGCTTCATTTTCCTTGATCAAGAATAACTTTTACCACCCCGCCCCCCTTTTAAGATTTTATTTAATTATTTGAGAGGCAGAGTTATAGTGAGAGGGAGAAGACAGTGAGAAAGGTCTTCCTTCTGTTGGTTCACTCCCCAAATGGCCGCAATGGCCAGAGCTGCGCCCATCCGAAGCCAGGAGCCAGGTGCTTCCTCCCGGTCTCCCATGTGGGTGCAGGGCCCAAGCACTTGGGCCATCCTCCACTGCTTTCCCAGGCTGCAGCAGAGAGCTGGATTGGAAGAGGAGCAGCTGGGGACTAGAACTGGCACCCATATGGGATGCCAGTGCCACAGGAGGAAGAGTAACCCACTGTGCTGTGGTGCCGGCCCCTATTTTCTTCCTTTTAAACTCTCTTCTAGACATTAGGAAGTAAAAGAACAGGGATCAAAACCCACATTTAAGAATCTTCCATGTTTCTAAGTGCCTGTTCCACTTCTTCATCAAAGACCTTTCACCATTAGTTGAGGCTGCCCATTTCTAGCCTCAATTTAAAAAAAAAAAAATGCGGCTTAAGTATCTTGAATCTCCTTGCCTATTTCCCAACAAGTCTGCACTGCTTGGAGTAGAACCAGCCCAATTCAAATCATAGCCTCCCCAACACCCAGCACAAATCAGGGCTGAATGTGTGAATATCATTCCAGGATGCATATAAACAAGGAGCTCTAATAATGAGGAAATTCACTTTACCCTTCTCTCCCTCAAGTGCCTGTCAATAATATTGTCTACACATGCTGCTTTTTTGGGTTAGTCTTAGCTATCCAGGACATAGCACTTCTTTGTCTACATTTATGGGTGTCCTCCACTGTGTTGGGGTGCCTTGTTGTTCAATACAGGGTAGGGGCAGACATCCCCTTCCCATATGCTCTCATCTAACCTGGCTGGGCCCATCAGACCTTTTCACCTGGGACTCAGAAGCTGTTGACTATGGGAGGAATGAATGAAGCACAATGAACTTGCAGAGCGGTGTCCTGTAATGGCCTTAGCTGTCACACTATTTCTTTCTCCAGACTGCTCTGGTTCAGATCCATTTTCCAAACCTAATCCTCCAGCTTTCTTTGATTCTGTGAGCTCCTGATATTCTTCTAGTGCACGTCTCCATCTTCCTCTTAACGGATTCTGTTTTCATTACTTATTGGTGAAAAGTGCCAAACCAATATGGGAGCAATTGGTTATCTGCCTTAGGAAGGGAAGAGAAGAGTAAAAATTCTGATAGTCTGAGCTAGGAATTGGGCAGCTCACAGAAAACAGTAAATTAGTTCACCAAAAGTTTCCAGGGATGCCATGTTCCATAAAGGGCTGGTCTGAGAAGGCATGAGAAATCCAAGGTCACAGATGGTAGCTATTTTTAATGGCACTGAAAAACTTAGAATAACAAGTTCAAACCCTTCAAGTTCCAATTCCAGCCACAGCTGGACACCTAGAGACTTCCTGTGATTGCGCTGAATTTCATCCCTTAGAGATACAAGACCAAGATAGCCAAAAACCCAACCTTAAGAGTCCAGGTAGCTGAGTTGTTGAATACTGCTATTTCCCATCTGAAAGGCAGGGCATTGCTGAGCACGTGGCCTCAGTATGGGAATGAGAATGTAACGGGGAAATGTGGAGGACTCAAGTGTGTCCCAAGCACGCTCTCCTCTTACTTCTGTTGTTCTCAGAAATACTTTTGGCTTATTTCGTCTGATAACATTTCTTTCTTGGTTGAGGGGTCCTCTTACAAGAGGAAGCTTGCTCTCCTGTGATTTTCCCCTGTGTCCAGCTCCTAGTTTCCTGAATGGGAACCACACCTCCCCAAAGGCTGTCTAAAACTTGGATCCACAGACCTCCACCTCATTTCCCATTGGTTCCCAGTCTCACTGCCTCCTCACAGGCCAGGCCCATTGCTAAGCTCAACCCATCTGTGGTTCCTTCAACATCCTCTATATCCAACCTATCTTTTGAGAGCCAGCTCGATTTATACTTTGTCCACAGAGCCTCCACAAACTACTCAAATGTATAAAGTCATCTGCTTCTGAACTCATAACATTTATTATCTGTTCTATTTGTGTAGCATATACTAAATGCTGCTTTATTATACAGTGGGTAGAACATGACTAAGAACATGTTAAACACATCAATTTCAACATTTGCTGGCTCTGTCCCTTGGAGGAGTCTGTTGGCTAAGTAGATTGACATTGCCTTGTCTTTAGAGTGGAGGTAACAGCACATGTGTCACCTTTCTCACAAAGGCATGAGGTGAAATGGAGCACTTATATATGATTTATTGGGGGCAGGCACTATGGCCTCCCATGTGTGCGGCAGGGACCCAAGCACTTGAGCCATCCACCAAGAAGACTCAGACTGAAGTTCAGCTTAGCTTTGGTGTGGCCCTGTCCCAGCTGCTGCAGGCATTTGGGGCGTGACCCAGTGGGTGGGAGATCTCACTCTGTCCATCTGTCTCTCTCTGCCTTCCAAATAAAACAAATGGGCAGGAGGCATGCAGAGAGGAAAGCAAGCAATGAGTTCAAGAAAAGAGCAGCGCCAAGCAGCTGGGCAGATACGCAGAGGAAGGGCAACGCAGGTGTCAGTGGGAAACACATTTTTCTTATAGGCCCCATTATCAGCAGGGTTCTGGGAGGATTGCTCAGTAACTTCATGTTAAACAAATCTGAAACAAGAGCAGCCTTAAAGAACGAAGGTCTCACAAGGACTGAACAACTGAACATAGCCAGCAGAACCTTGGGAGCTCAACCCCAAGCCCTCCCTACTGCTCCCTTCTGGTGGATAGACACCTTTGCTGTGAAAGTAGGTGGTCCTGTTTTTAGGAATGCTGCTTCACTTCTCTAGGCAGAGTGCCAGAAGCACTGGTTATAAGACAGTGTGGAATCTTCAAAAGCCCCTTGGAAGCAAATGCTGCTAGATTGCTCAGGGCCAGCTGGGCTGCACCTGGCTGCTTGTTTTCTCTAAGTGTCCCCAGAAGCCTTCAAAGGCTCAAGGCACTGCAGAGGTTGCCGAGAGAGGAGAGTTCCGAGTGCCCACCCCAGGTCCTGTATACACACAGCAGCTAGACTTTTAAATTGGAATGGGGCCAGAGTTGTGGTGCAGCATTAAGCCACTGCTCACAATGCATCCCATATGAGAGCCACTTGTAGCCCCAGCTGCTCCATTTCTCATCCAGCTCCCTAATGCACCTGCAAAAGCAGCAGCAGATGGCCGGAATGGACCCCTGTGATGCACTTGGGAGACCCGGAGGGAACGCTAGGCTTCTGACTTCAGCCTGGCCCTAGCCCTGTCTATTGCCATTTAGGGAGTAAACCATCAGATGGGAGATCTCTGTCTCTCCTTTCTGTAACGTTGCCTTTCAAATAAATAAATCTTTAAAACAATTGGAAGTAAAATTGAAAAATTCCATGTTTAAAAAAAATCCCAACATCTTTGATGTTGTCTTAAGAAATTTTTTTTTTTTTTAAAGTTTCAATGCCAACTCTCTTCTCATGAAGGTAGTGGCAACATCATAGGTTCAGGGATTGAATTTGAGTTTTTCTTTCTTTTTTAAGATTTATTTATTTATTGGCGAGACAGAGAGATCTTCTATCCACTGGTTCATCCTCAGATGGCTGCAATGGCCAGAGCTGGGCCAATCCAAAGACAGAAGCTTTCTCTGGGTCTCCCACATGGGTGCAGGGGCCCAAACAAATGGGTCATCTTCTAGTGCTTTCTGAGGCCATTAGCAGGGAGCTGGATGAGAAGCAGAGTAGCCAGTGCTGTGGTTCACTTGGCTAATCCTCCGCCTGCAGCACTGGCACCCGGGTTCTAGTCCCGGTTGGGGCACCAGTCTTGTCCCGGTTGCTCCTCTTCCAGTCCAGCTCTCTGCTGTGGCCCAGGAAGGCAGTGGAGGATGGCCCAAGTGCTTGGGCCCTGCACCCGCATGGGAGACCAGGAGGAAGCACCTGGCTTCTGGCTTTGGATCAGCGTGGTGCACCGGCCACAGCACACCAGCCATTGCGGACATTTGGGTTAACCAACAGAAGGAAGACCTTGCTCTCTTTCTCTCTCTAACTCTGCCTGTCAAAAAAAAAAAAAAAAAAAGGCAGAGTAGCCGGGTCTCAGATTGGTGGCCATATGGGATGCTGGCACTGCTTAATCTACTGTGCCACAGCGCTGGCCCCTGAATTTGAGTTTTCCTAAGCTCTATAGTGTGATACTGAGCACAGTGGTTCTGGCCCAATTACTCTTTTAAATTCATACACAGTGTTCTCATGATAGTCATTATTCATTCATTCAGTCATTTATTTAACTTGAAAGGCAGAATTAAGAAGCAGAGAAACTGAGAGAGAGATCTTCCTTCTGCTGGTTCAGTCCACAAATGGCTGCAACAGCTGAAGTCGGGAGCCTGGAACTCCATCCTGGTCTCCCATGTGGGTGGCAGGGCCCCAAGTACTTGGGCCATCTTCTTCCCAGGCAATTTAAAAGGAAGCCAGATTGGAAGTGGCACTACTGGGATTTGAACTGGCACCCACATAGGGGGTTGTGGGTAGACAAGCCCAGACCCCAGAAATTCTGTATACATTTTAGCCTACCACGGGCTAGCCTGAGCTAGTCTAACTTCTAGCTCACTGAAATTCATCAGTTAGGGGCCAGCGTGGTGATGCAGCAGGTTAGGCCCAACACCTGCAGTGAGCTCCAGTTCAAGTCTTGGCTGCTCCGCTTTCCAGTCCAGCTCCTAGTTTTGGCCTGGCCCAGCCCCAGCTACACTGGATGCTGAGGACTGCTTTAACTCTTTCCTCTCTTGAGTTTACTAAGAACACCATCATGATGGCCATTCTTCCAGAATCAGCTGTCGCGTTTCTTTACAAAACCCTCTTTTCTTTATCCCAACCTCAGGTAGGCTTCTTGGCATCTGTTCCTCTCATTTAAAACAAGTTTGCTTCTTTTCATTTACTTGAAAGGCAGAGATAGAGATATTTTATTCATTGGTTCACTCCTCAAATGCCCGTAACAGCTAGGAATGGGCAAGGGCAGTACCAGGAGCCTGGGATCATCTGGGTCCCCCATGTCGGTGGCAGGGGCCCAAGCAATTGAGGCATCATCCGCTGCTTCCCAGAATGCATTAGCAGGAAGCATGATTAGAAGCAGAGTAACCAGGACTGGAACTGGTATTCTGATACGGGATGGGGGCATCCCAAGTGGTAGCTTAACCTGCTGCACCACAATACCTGCTGCTCTTTTTTATACTGTCCCGGAATGAATTCATCAAAATCCTTAAACTACCACTTACCTATTGATAATTTTAAAATTATTTCTACCCACGGCTCTTTGTTGAGTATAGATGTTTACCCAATAGCCCCCTGGACAATTCTATTTTAATTTCTCTTAAGCACCCTAAAATCATTACATCAAAAAAACAAATCCAGGGGCCGGCATTGTGGCATAACGGGTAAAGCTGCCATCTGTGACACTGGTATCCCATATGGGTGCCAGTTCAAGTCCTGGCTGCTCCACTTCTGAACCAGCGACCTGCTAATGTACCCGGAAAGCAGAGGAGGATGGCCCAAGTACTTGGGCACCTGTGCCTACATGAGAAACCAGGAAGAAGCTCCTGGCTCCTGCCTTTGGATCAGCCCACCAATGGCTGTGCAGTCATTTGGGGAGTGAACTAGTGGATGGAAGCTCTCTCTATCTCTTGCTCTCTAACTCTGCCTTTCAGATAAATCCAGCTTAAAAAAAAAAGCAAATTCGTAATTTTTGCACAAACCTACTACTTCTCCTGGTTTCCCTGTCTTAATGAAGGGTATTTATTTACCTGGAGAATCAGCCAGAAAATGGGGATTCACATTAAGATTCTATCTATCCCCTTCTAAGCACTGCTATTCTTATTGATTCTACCTTCTTAATATTGAGAGCACAAGTTCTCAAAATTCAGCGTGTACCAGAACCACTTGTGGGGCTTGTTAAATACCAACTGCTGAGCCCCAGCCCAAGAGTATCTGACCCTGAAGGTCTGTGGTACACTGGGAATTGTATTTCTAACTCTTCCCAGCTGATACTGATGCCACTCATCTGGGGACCGTACTTCCAAGACCACTAATCTGTCTACCCAATCAGCAGTTCACCCTACCAGTCACAGTGCAACTGCCATCACTTGTCATTTTCTTGCTGAGATGATAATCATTAGCCTTTTAATTTATCTGACCTTTTGTATTTTTAAATATTTACTTATTTGAAAATCAGAGAGAGAGAGAAAGTCTTCCATCTGCGGGTTCACTCCCCAGATGGCTACAATGGTCAGGCTGAAGCCAGGAGTCAAAAGCTTCTTCCAGGTCTCCCAGGTGGGTGGCAGGGACCCAGACACTTGGGCCATCTTCCTCTGCTTTTCCTAGGCCATTAGCAGGAAGCTGGATCAGAAATGGAGCAGCTGGGATGCAAATCGGCACCCATATGGGATGCCAGTGTTGCAGGCAGTAGCTTTACCTGCTATGCCACAACACTGGTCCCCCTTCCTTGATCTTCTTGAAACATTCTCCAAACTGCAACTGGAAGGATCTTCCTATAAACAAGGTGTCAGCAAACTGTTAAAATCTTTGCTTAGTATAGAGTTGATCTCCTGTATATAAAGATAATTAACAATGAATCTTAATGAAGAATGGGATGGGAGAGGGAGTAGGAAGTGGGATGGTTTGGGGGTGGGAGGGCAGGTATGGGGGGAAGAACAGCTATAATCCAAAAGTTGTTCTTACGAAATTTATATTTATTAAATAAAAGCTTTCTATTAAAAAAAAAAAACAAACCATGGAATCTGCTTGGCTCAGCTCTGAGACCAATGTGGTAGTTCTTTGGGTGATGCTGTGCTCACCCCACCACTTGCCATCAACATCCTGAAACTGCTGTATGCCAAAGATGTCAAATACCTTTCAATGTACATCCACACGTACTGGTCATTTCTGTAAGAATTTATACTTTATCACAACATCCCACTATCCCAAAACACAGTGAACCATCTCTCTTCTACGAATTCCCCACCCACCTCCACTTTACCTTTCAAGTGTTTCTGATCTTCAGTTGTATTGCAGGAAATACTACATCTAACTAGTCTAACTATTTCATTGTACTTGCCTTTCTATGTATTAGGTGCCCTCATTATTTAAACTGCATACTTCATCATGACAAAGGTACCCATCAGGTCTTACAAATGTGTCATTCCTCATGGTACAAAAGTCACATTTTGGACATGCCAATTATCACCCTACACATTAAGTCTCATAATCTGCTTGGTGTATCATGTGAACAGAGACAGCTGTTGAAAAGAGAAAAGAAGAGGAAAAAAAAAAGAGGAAACCAGGTGTCACAGTGGCATGCCAGCGCTGCAATGCCGTTTAATTGAAATCCTGTAATAAAAGTTTAAATACATAAAAGGTTTTTGTTTTTGTTTTTGTTTTTTATCAAAAGATCCTCCTCCTCTTCCCTGACCTGATACAGACAGAGGATAGGCAAATGGAAACTGGCTAGCTGTAGGGAATGCAGAAATGGCAGGTCCAAGTCTGGTTGGTTTCTTCTTCCTCAGAAAATGCTCTGTGATTGCATTCAGAGTCTCAGGAGAGTGAGAGCCCACCCCACAGACTTCTGTCAGCAGGTGGAGTCCACGTGTGGCAAGCTACCCTGCACCACGGAGAATGCTTGTCCCAGCCTTAGAAGACAAGGAAGAGCAGGGCTTCGTGTCTGGGCAGCACTATGTTTTCTACGGTGCGTTCCATGGAGCGCACCTGCTCCGGAGAGGCAGTCAAGAATGCCAAAGGCCCAATACGCTGCTCTACACAGGAGTGGCAGAGGTAGCCACCATTGTTTTCCTTTCTGTTGCTCTGCAGAATGGATAAGAAAAAAGAGGTAAGGAAACAATCAAAAACAAAGACTTTCTACCAAAAAGTGCTGAATTATTGTCACAGCTGCCAAGGGACAGTGTCTTATGAGCTGATGTTTTCAGACCAGTGCAAACCCTCTGGAGTAATGCTTCCCACAACACTACTGCCAGGGTAGACTCAACTCCTCCAAATTCCCTGAAAATAGAAACCACAGTTATCTCATCAGACACAAAGAATCAGAAAAACTGAACCAGGCTCTCCAGGTAAATGGTTGTCTTCTGATGCATCTTGTCACAACCCAGTCTCCCAGGTAATAAGGCTTTACACAACCAGACAGGATCACATATCCTGACTCTTGACTAATACTTTCTCTAACATATAGGGAGACCATATCTCTTGTGCCTTATGTATAAAAAGTACCTAAAGGTGCCAGTGCTGTGGTATAGCGGGTAAGGCTGCCGCCTGCAGTGCCAGCATCCCATATAGGCTGGTTTGAGTCCTGGCTGCTCCACTTCCAATCCAGCTCTCTGCTACAGCCTGGGAAAGCAGTAGAAGGTGGCCCAAGTCCTTGGGCCCTGCACCCACATGGGAGACCTGGAGGAAGCTCCTGGCTCTCGGCTTCAGATTAGGGTAGTTCTGGCCGTTGCGGCCATTTTGAGGAGTGAACCAGCAGATGGAAGACTTCTCTCTCTGCCTCTGCCTTTCAAATAAATTAAAAAAAAAAAAAAAAAAAAAAACGTAGGCCAGTGCCGCGGCTCAATAGGCTAATCCTCCACCTGCAGTGCCGGCACACCAGTTTCTAGTCCCGGTCGGGGCGCCGGATTCTGTCCCGGTTGCCCCTCTTCCAGGCCAGCTCTCTGCTATGCCCTGGGAGGGCAGCGGAGGATGACCCAAGGACTTGGGCCCTGCACCTGCATGGGAGACAGGAGAAGCACCTGGCTCCTGGCTTCAGATCAGCATGATGTGCCGGCCGCAGCGCGCCAGCTGCGGTGGCCATTGGAGGGTGAACCAACAGCAAAAGGAAGACCTTTCTCTCTGTCTCTCTCTCTCACTGTCCACTCTGCTTGTCAAAAAAAAAAAAAAAAAAAAAACTAAAAAAGGATTACACCAATTTCTCTTCTCTCCTCCACCCACAACCTAGATAACTACATGGCTGATAAGCAGTAAAATGCCAATGACTGAATTAAGTTCCAAAGAGAGCAGGTACTGTTGGGGAGACCACATACGTAAGTGATGGGGAGTTGCTTCATGGTGAGCACAGTGTCCACAGGGATGGCATTGTTGCACTGCCCCACACAGCAGCGGACCACTCCTGTTTTTAATACGTTGCTTGTCAGCTCGGCTTGTAAGAAGTACTCCTAAGAAGGAAAGAGACAGAAAGAGAATAATAGCACCTCTGCTACCTTCTACTTGGAAACTCCCACAGTAAATGCCCTTTTGATGCATCTTGAGTTCCAGAATGAGAAAAGGTTACCCTGTTTTCCCTTAGTTTCTCTGATTTTCCCTGACTCCAAAGCTTTCATCAAGAGAAAACACTTGAAATAGTCCCATTGGCTTCTTCGAGATACTCAGCAGACTCATAGAATGGCAGATGTCCTAAATAGCACTCTGGCCTCAGAATCAGCCCTAAAGGCATTCGGATCTGGCTGAAAAGCCCATGAGAGTATTTCAGGCATGGAAAGCCAAGACACTCTGGCAAAAAGATCTCTGTGAGTGAGATCCCAGTGGAAAGAACACGTCTTCAAAGAAGGAGGTACCTTTCTCTGAAGGGAGGAGAGAACCTCCACTTTGACTATGACCTTGTCTAAACAAGATAAGAGTCGGAGAACTCAGAGGGCTTCCATAGCCTTGGAAACTCATGACTGGAGCATAGGGAGATTACTGATGCCATAGACAGGAGTGTCAATTTGTAAAGTCAACAACAGGAGTCACTGTGCACTTACTCCTCATGTAGGATCTCTATCCTTAATGTGCTGTACATTGAAATTTAATGCTATAACGAGTACTCAAACAATATATTTCACTTTGTGTTTCTATGGGGGTGCAAACTGTTAAAATCTTTACTTAATGCATACTAAACTGATCTTCTGTAAAAAAAAAAAAGAAATTATCAATTCCCAACTTGACTCTCACTGGGATTAAACATGACAATAGGTCTGATCTGATTTCATCATCATTTAAAAAATCATCTATTATTTTTCACTTTATGTTTCTGTGTGGGATCAAACTGTTGAAATCCTTACTTAATGTACACTAAGCTGATCTTCTGTATATTAAGAGAATTGACAATGAATCTTGATGTGAATGGAAGGGGAGAGGGAGTGGGAAAGGGGAGGGTTGCGGGTGGGAGGGGCGGTATGGGGGGGAAGCCATTGTAATCCATAAGCTGTACTTTGGAAATTTATATTCATTAAATAAAAGTTAAAAAAAATTAAAATGTGAAAAAATTGGAAAGACACCACATTAAAAATAAATAAATAAACAAAATTGTTTTTAAATAGCAACTTCTAGGAATATTACAGTTAAGTACATCTTGGAACTATTACAGATTTGGTCCCAGACTACTGCAATAAAGTGAATATCAATAAAGAAAAAAAAAAGAAATAGTCCCATTGGCTTCTTGATAAAACTGCAGCTAGTTTAAAAAATAAGATTTAGTGGACAAACATGCAAAACTATTGCCCACAGTGATATTTCAAGACTATTTCTGGATTCTACTTATGCTAACCAACCTCCAACTGAATTATTACAAATTTTTTTTTTTTTTTGTATATTCACGTTGTAACTCCAGTAAGTTGAGAGAGAAGAACTTAAAGGACGTCCAGGGATTGGTGCTGTGGCACAGAAGGTAAAGCTACTACCTGCAGTGCCAGCATCCCATATTGGCGTCTGTTTCAGGCTGCTCCACTTCTGATCCAGTTCCCTGCTAATGTGCCTGGAAAAGCAGCAGAGGATGGCCCAAGTGCTTGGGGCTTTAGATCCATGTGGGAGACCCGAAAGAAGCTCCTGGCTCCTGCCTTTGGACTGGCTCAGCTCTGGATGTTGTAGCCATTTGGGGAGTGAACCAGCAGATGGAGATCTCTCTCTCTCTTTCTCTCTCTCCCACTCTGCTTTTCAAATAAATAAATATTAAAACAAACAAAAACAGAAACAGATGTGCAAACCAACCTTGCACATTTCTCTCTTCCCCTGCTATTGGTTGGCAAGTGGGAAGCTGATACATTTCAGCCTCAATTTCTTTATCTGTGAAATGTAGAGAACAAGGCACCTACTGTCACAAAAACAGGGACTTTGGTTTGATTCACTGCTGCCTCTGAGGAGTTCCACAAAGTATGGGCAAACTAAATGAGCAGGACCACTCATAACTGCTGATCATAAATGACAATTTCATATTTTCTAGATTACAATTGAGTTGTTTACCACATTTTTCAGAATCTATGTACCACATTTTGATTTATTTGGTTTTCTCTTCCATTTTACAACAAAACAGATTTTGCTGAAGCCCCTTTGACTGCCATCTCCATTTTCTTTTTGGGTGTCTCTTTTGTGAGCCACTGTAAAATAGCTTCAAGTTTAATACATGTCCAGAAGCATAAGGTATTTTATAGCTGTTTGTTTATATAAGTGTCTTACTTTTGGTTTCCTTCTCAGTTTGTTCACTTTCCTCTTGTGCTATATAGGATTCAGCCATCATTCTTTTATGCATTTCTGTGGAAACTCGGGTTTCTAAACTATTTCCAACGATGCAGAAATGAGTATCTTTGTACATATTTCCAGCCCACTGCAAGATTTTCTCCAGGGCTGGGGATTTCAAACTGTTTTGATTCATTTATAGTACAATTCTATACTTACATGTGTAAGAAATTAAGGAGCAGGCGTTTAGATTAGCAGTTAAGACAGCTGCATCCCATATCTGAATACCTGGGTTTGATATACCCAGTTCCGGCTCCTGCTTTGTGCTTCCTGCTACTGCAGACCCTAGGAGGCAGAACTGATGGCTCACGTGATTGGGTTCCTGCCACCCATATGGGAGATCTAGATCGATTTCCCAGCTACTGACTTGAACCTGGCCTGGTTCCAACCCTCATGAGCATTTGGGGATTGAACTAACAAATGGGAGCTGTATCTGTCTCTGCTACATACATACATACATACATATATAGGTAAATGAACTTGAAATCAAATCTCCACAAAATACCATTTAACCCAATATACTGTGATAACTTTGAATTTTTTGCCATTTTACTTTTTTTTTTTTTTTTGACAGGCAGAGTTAGACAGTGAGAGAGAGAGAGACAGAGAGAAAGGTCTTCCTTTCCATTGTTTTACCCCCCAAACGGCTGCTACTGCCGGCGCACTGCGCCGATCCGAAGTCAGGAGCCAGGTGCTTCCTACTGGTCTCCCATGTGGGTGCAGGGCCCAACAACCTGGGCCATCCTCCACTGCACTCCTGGGCCACAGCAGAGAGCTGGACTGAAAGAGGAGCAACCAGGACAGAATCTGGCACCCCAACCAGGACTAGAACCCGGGGTGCCGGCGCTGCAGGCAGAGGATTAGCCAAGTGAGCCACGGCGCCAGCACCATTTTACTTTTTTTTTTTTAAAGCTTGTGATAACACATTAATGTCACCAATCATTAGTGAACTGCAACCTACAATTTGACAGACACTGTTCCAGGGCATTAGAATACAGATGATTTGGTCTTAGTACTCTTTATGTTACTAAACATCATTGTATATGTGAACGGTTACTACTTATCATCTTGGAATCTCAGAAATATACACTCAGAAGTTTTCAAAATGTGGTGAGAAGAGTAGCACTGTTTTGTCTTTGCAAATCTTTCATGTCTAGCTTAATAGAAGACAGCTGGAGCCTCATCTCTTCTGTATTTATTTTGTGGTGACATCACATGCCAGGTGGCCTTGGAGGACTACCCTGCACACTTGTGAGAGCATTAGAGAGAAAAATGCTAGTAACAGCCTAGTACCCAGAAAACTGTATATGCATAACAGGTATATGAGCACAGCATGTAATTGTGACGAGCCTGGCATGTGTGTATAATATATACTGTAAGCATGGTGTATGCCACATACATAATATGTACTGAGAACAAGAGAGAGAGCCCTGCAGGGTCAATTTGATTATATCAATATTTGAAACTTCAATCTGGTAAAATAACAGCTAATAGTTACTTAGTCTGTTAAAAATAAAAAAACCATCCTTTGAGGTGCAGTTAATACCCTTACACCGGCTTTATCAGGTAAGGAACCATGCTTAAGTCATCTGGTTCAGGTCACAAAGAATCGAAAGAACTGGAATGAGAACCAGACATGAACAGGGCCCGTGCTTTTACCGTGGCCAGTCACCACATGGGAAAATATTTTTTTCAACAAACACGTGTGGAGTATCAATTATATGTTAGGTGCTGTCCTAATGATGTGCTTGTGAGATCTAGATTAAGAATCTAAGATTCTAGGGTAGGCATTTGGCCTGCTGCTTAGGCCACAGGTTAAGATACCTGCAGCCTACGGTATCAACAGCTGACTCCAATTTCCTCCTAACACAGACTTCAAGAAGCAACCGCCATGGGGCTGGCGCTGTGCCTCACTTGGTTAATCCTCTGCCTGCGGTGCCGGCATCCCATTTGGGCGCCGGGTTCTAGTCCTGGTTGCTCCTCTTCCAGTCCAGCTCTCTGCTGTGGCCCGGAAGGGCACTGGAGGATGGCCTAAGTGCTTGGGCCCCTGCACTCACATGGGAGACCAGGAGGAAGCACCTAGCTCCTGGCTGCGGACTGGCATAGCTCCAGCCGTAGCGGCCTTTTCGGGGGTGAACCAATGGAAAGAAGACCTTTCTCTCTGTCTCTCTCTCTCTCTCACGGTATAACTGTATCTGTCAAATAAAATAAATAAATAAAAAAGAAGCAATGGCCATGGCTCAAATAATTGAGTTCCTGCCACCCATTTAGGAGACTGGGCTTGAGCTCCTGGTTCCTGAATGTTGTGGGCATTTGGGGAGTGAACCAGCAGACAGGAGTTGTCGCGCTCTCTCTCAAAAAAAAAAAAAAAATTCTAGGAAGCTGAGAAGCTGCCTTTGAGCAACTAGTAACTGTGTCGCTTAACACTTCAAAAATACAGTGATTTTCTTCACTTCTTTAAAACTAAAAAAAAAAGATGAACAAAAAGGCTTCTGGTGATTACATCAGTCATCTTCTGTAAGGAGATCAGAGAAAAAGGAGACTCTTGGTTATAGGGTAATGGCTTATTCTAGGGAGCAGAAAACAAAAAAGGCTCATGTTTTACGTCTAAAACGTCACAGGCATTGTGGAACAGAGGGTAAGTCACAGTGTGGGACACACCTGCATCCCAAATCAGGATGTCGTTTAGAGTTCTGGCTACGCTGCTTCCCACCCAGCTCCTTGCTAATGTGGCTGGGAAGCAGCCGATGAGGTCTCAAGTACTTGAGTCTTGGCCACCTGTGTGAGAGACCTGGCTGGAGTTCCTGGTTCCTGCTTTTTAGCCTGGTCCAGCCCTGGCTGTTGTGGCCGTTTGGGGAGTTAACCAACTGATGGAAGATCGATCTCTCTCTCTCCCCCTCTCCCTCCCTCCCTGTTACTCTATCAAACAAGGAAATAAATAAGTCTTCAAAAAGTAAATTAAAAAGAAAATGCCACCCCCATGACTACTACTTTTCACATGTTTTCACAGCCTCTAAATCGTCCTGGCCTCATGCCCCAGAGTCTTCAATACCCCTAGGCCCTTCTTTCTGAGCAGAGACTGGACTCAACCACTTCTGAAGCAGAATTTCCCAAACGTATTCACAGGCTGTGATAAAGAAAAGCAGAAGTGCTCTACCTCACACAAGGGCTTTCAGATTTAAAAACATCTGTTCACACAAAAGGCAGTTTCTTGGGGTCTTCCTGTGGGCAGACAGATGTTTCCTAACCCTGTCTCAATAATGGGGAAGTGTTTCTAAAGATTCTATATTATTTTTCTTCTATGGAGAAATGGATTTTCCCTGTCAAATATATGCAGTAAACAAGTGATAAGCTTCCAAATGTCTTCAAAAGGTCTATGAGAATACTTCAAAAAGTTCATGGAAAATGGAATTAGAAGTCATTGATTTTGGGGTGAGTGTGTGGCTTAGCTGTTAAGATAGCACTGGAGACAACCATATCCCATGATAGAGTGCCTGGGTTCAAGTCCGGGCTCCACTTTGGATACCAGCTTCCTGCTATTGCACACCCTGGAAAGCAGCAGGTGGCTGACTTAAGTACTTGGGTCTATGCTACCCACATGAGAGACCCAGACTAAGTTCTGACTTTGGCCTGGCCTACCCCTGCCAATGTGGGCATTTGGGGATGTCTCTTTTAAAATCTGTATCTGTATGTATATAATGTATTATGTATGTTTTTTAAAAAGTAGTTTATTCTGGAGTGAAACAGTTTTCAAATCCACGCATAGTTTTTCCATAACATACATTTTCCATGAACTTTTTAAAGACCCCTTGTAGAATGCTATCTTTCATGAAAAAGGAGAATATGAAAATACATGCAGATTTGTTGATATTTGCAAAAAGAAACACTGAAAGAGGAATCAATTAGAAATTCTAAAAAAAATAGCTACCAAAGGCAGGGACAGAGAATGGTTTGAAGGGGACAGAAATGAAAGATTCCTCTTGTTAGAAAGCTTTGACTTTGGAAACATAAACAGGCCTTACAGATTCAAAAGATAATCAAATTGAAAAGCAGCAAAGCCATCCCTGAAAGGACTGAAAACAAACATACATTTCAGATTGTACGTTTCACTGGTGATAAAACCAGAGGACAGACAGACGTATTTCAAGGGACTTCAGAATATCTTACTTTAGTTTTCCATCATTAGTGGAATATATGCTCAGGAGAAATGAAGCCTCTGGGAAACCTCACATTCCATTCAGTATTCTATTCATAATGATACTGGTATTATTTTGAAATACACAGAATGGTATAAGTAAGTAACAAATGCTATTAAGAACCAAGATTTTCAGTGTGAAAGATTCAAGTTAAAAGAAGTAAAGTTTAGTGTTAAAACTGAACTGGACTGTATAACTAAAATTCACGAGTTACAAATGTAAAAGGTTAAAGGTGCTGCAATATAGACACAGTGTAGCTTTAAAAAAAAAAGGAGAACGAAGATAACACATGCAAAAAAAAGTCTTATTTTCAGTACACAAACTGCTGGTGCTACACACTTGGGAAAACACTACGAAGTAAAGACTTGGAAGTTAGGTACTCTCAGGACAGAGAATGGGCCTGACATCAGGGTTCACCCAGGTAGCACAGAGGACGGCTGGGGGGGGGTCCCAGCTCCAGATTTAGTGGATACTCATTACATCACAATTTTAACTCCTTTAAATGTCTGTGTTACATTAACAAAAACCAGCTCAATAATTATTTTATTATTATTATTATTAATTAATAATTGGGATTGGAATTATCAGTATGAACATTTGATTTTTCTTTCTTTCAAAATATGGATTGACAAGAAAGAGGAATAGGGGCTGGCACTGTGGCGTAGTGGGTAAAGCCACCGACTGCAGTGCTGGCATCCCATATGGGTGCCGGTTCAAGTCCCGGCTGCTCCACTTCCAGTCCAGCTCTCTGCTATGGCCTGGGAAATCAGTAGAAGATGACCCAAGTCCTTGGGCTCCTAGCACCCACATGGGAGACCTGGAAGAAGCTCCTGGCTCCTGGCTTTGGATTGGTGCAGCTCTGGCTGTGCAGCCAACTGGGGAGTGAACCAGTGGATGGAAGACCTCTCCTTCTCTCTCTTTCTCTCTCTCCTCTCTTTCCCTCTGTGTAACTCTGACTTTGAAATACATAAATAAATCTTTTTTAAAAAAACAGATGAGTAATCTTAGCATTACTAAAGAGTGATAGGCAATCTGACAACATGTGATGACAGACAAAGAACAAAGCCCTTCCCTCCACGGAGCATTCCAGCCAAAACAGATAAGATTGGATATAATCCAGCCTCTACATCTAACTTCTGATTACAGGAAATCCAGGATAGGCAACACTAACGGAAGAGCAAGTTACATAACCACATAAGGAAGCAAATCTAGAATGTGGAACATTTTATAGGGCATTTGACCCAGTTTCTGTATTAAGACAGGACCATTAAAGAAAGGGGGGGGAGGCGTTGGCTGTTCCAAATTAACTAACTTAAGAGACTAACAACTTAATGTTGATTTGGATCTTGATCTGAACAAACCAACTGTAAAAAGGCATTTTTTAGATAATCATGTATATATGATTAGAGACTGGGTAGCAGGAGTTACATATTATTTTAAATTCTGTAAAACATGGAAACAGCTCTGTGGTTACAGGAAAAAAAAGTGTTTTTTTTTTTTTTTTTTTTTTTTTAGGAGACGTATACTCCAAATACATATAGGGTGCTTTGTATATGGTCACTCAATGTATTGTTTCCTCAACTTTTTCATGTTTCAAAATTTTCATAAGTAAAACAAAAATCTTATTTAATCCATGTTGTGAAATGAGATTACTGCTTTATAATACTCCCATTGAAGTTACCAATTGTATTCCTCAAACAAATGTGAAAAGAAATCCCATTTGTCTATATATTTGTGTCCAAAATGTGGTTGGCACATTTGATCAATTACAAGTATCAAGTTTCTGTTTTAGTACCACTTAACAACTCTGAGACCTTGAATATCATTTACTTAAAACAGTTATGGCTCCACCCAACTCCCACCCTACACTAAAAGTCAAAGCCTTTAATATCAGTACTGACTCTACAGCATGTAACACTCATCTGCTTAACAGAACAGCACAATGTAGCACTTTGAATACATCACTCTGCTACACACAAAATTGCATGTTTCCCAGGTAACTAAGGAAGACTATGTTAACTTTTTTTTTTTTTTTTTTGACAGGCAGAGTGGATAGTGAGAGAGAGAGACAGAGAGAAAGGTCTTCCTTTTGCCCTTGGTTCACCCTCTAATGGCTGCCACGGCCGGCGCGCTGTGGCCGGCGCACCACACTGATCCAATGGCAGGAGCCAGGTACTTATCCTGGTCTCCCGTGGGGTGCAGGGCCCAAGGACTTGGGCCATCCTCCACTGCACTCCCAGAGAGCTGGCCTGGAAGAGGGGCAACTGGGACAGAATCCGGCGCCCCAACCGGGACTAGGACCCAGTGTGCCAGCGCTGCAAGGCGGAGGATTAGCCTAGTGAGCTGCGGCGCTGGCTGACTACATTAACTTTTGCATTTCAGTTTTAGATATCAGGCTTAAGTATTTTTCTTTTAGGAAAGATGGACTAGATGGTAACTGTTATTTGTGTTGCAGTCTCCAACAAGATTGAGCAGATTAAGGCCGGCGCCGCGGCTCAATAGGCTAATCCTCTGCCTAGCGGCGCCGGCACACCGGGTTCTAGTCCCGGTCGGGGCGCCGGATTCTGTCCCGGTTGCCCCTCTTCCAGGCCAGCCCTCTGCTGTGGCCAGGGAGTGCAGTGGAGGATGGCCCAGGTGCTTGGGCCCTGCACCCCATGGGAGACCAGGAAAAGCACCTGGCTCCTGGCTCCTGCCATCGGATCAGCGCGGTGCGCCGGCCGCAGCGCGCCAGCCGCGGCGGCCATTGGAGGGTGAACCAACGGCAAAGGAAGACCTTTCTCTCTGTCTCTCTCTCTCACTGTCCACTCTGCCTGTCAAAAAAAAAAAAAAAAAAAAAAAAAAAAAAAAAAAAAAAAAAAGATTGAGCAGATTAAATCATCTCTGCTCTAGCTCAAGAAAAGGCAGGAAAGTTGGGAAAAGGAAGTAGAGAGAAGGCAGTTTTATGAGTGTGGAGACCAACTGCTGACCTACTTGCATTTTTGTGTCTTAGCCAGTGACAATGACCAGTGTGGTCTAAGTGCGTCCTCTCTGGCAAGGATATTCTTGGGAAAGTCTCAGTGACAGCAGCAGCTGTCTTTTAAAGAAAGACTAGGGAATGGGAGGGAGGAGGTTTAGATGCAGAAAACATTCTTTTCTTCCTGGAGTGTTGAGAACTAATTGAGCAAAAGAAAAATTAAGAAACAGATGAATACAGTTGGTATTTTAAAAATAACCCTTTTAAAATTGAGTTAGGAAAAATTTAGAAGAGAATCGTATCTTTGTTTCTTTGGTTAGAACGCTTCTTGCACTAGTGTTCCACAATCACCCTCTGTACATAAAGGCCTTTGCTTCTAACCCACGATTCTGATCCAAAGGCTTCTGCAGGCATACAGATTGACCCCTTATTCAAATCCAGCAAAATTCAAACACTGGCAGATTAACTCACGCTACTCATGCCTCTTACCCCAGCCAAAGTCAAAATGTTTTCCAGTGATTTGGTCATGATGAGACGCTTCTTAGCACGAGTTACTGCAACATACAGTAAATTCCATTCATCCTCAGAAAATGACTCTTAAAAAAAAGTAAAGGGGAAAAAATAAACTCAAAAGCCCACTTACAAAAAGTTATGTTCTCATCTAAATGTTTACATCCTCTCACTCATAACCCATTCCAAAAAAAAGCCACTCAAGATTTGCTGGCTTGTATATACAGAATTTCCCTACAAATGACAATTCCCAAAATAAAAAACCTCGCAGACCAATGGCACAACATGCTGAGTCTTATTTAGTCCTGCTATGGCAATATATATATATATATAGTGTATATATATATATATAGTATATATATATATATATATATACACACACACACACACACACTAGGAATATGCAAATTGGTTATTCAATACCTGTGATGTGCCAGGTAGGTAGTGATGTTCATTATCCCAGTTCTGCTCACAATGGGGAAACTGAGGTTTACAGAGGTCATGTCATTGGCACAAATTAAGGCCAAGGTAATCAAAGGCCCAGAGCTGGACCTGCCCAGAGCAGGACCCAAGTCTAGTCATCTCTAAAGCCCGCCCTCTTTCCATTTCCTGACACTGTTTCTCTGCACGGATTTAGTCCAACCTGGAAATGTTTGAAGGCAACAGAAGACATCAACCAGATGAAGCTCCTGGCTTTGGTCTGGCTCAGCCCTGGCTTTTGTGGCCATCTGGGGAGTGAACCAGCCAATGGAAGATCTCTCTCTCTTTCTCTTAACTTTGACTTTCAAATATATAAATCTTTAAAAAACAAAAGCAGCTGGTATCTTTCAATGGCCACCTCTGTTTATGGCTCTCCCTCCTTTTATGGCTATATCCACCAGAAATAAGAGATGTTTAGTATTTATGTTTTCAGCATTACAATACCACATCCTCAAGTTTGAATCCATGGTTAACAGCCAGTTTTTGCTAAAAAGCAGACAAATGACAGTGTTTATTATTTCACCTTTGGTGATTTCTGATCTCTTTAATGAGAAGAATTAATTAAAGGAAAACACCTTGGTTAGCAGGGAAACCATGTTTCAAAGCTTTTATATCTGATGGAGAAAATTTTGAAGCTGAGAGTAGATGTGTGTTAAATAGGCCCACCTATAAGTGTAACAGTCTCATAAGCAGCCTGAGAGAAGTGGACCCCACGGAAGCTTGATTTTGATTACAGTATAAGAATCAAAAGTTTAGGACTAGTAGGTGTTTTTTCTTGTTTCTAGGACTTTACCTACCAGGAGGCCACAGCATCCAAGAAAAATCAAAGTAGTCTAAAGGAAGCATCTCACTCAACCCTTGAGTGCTAATTGATCATAACACTCAAACGAAGAGCAACCAGTCTCCTTACCAACTCTGAAGTGGGGTAGCTGGGCAAGATTATGCCTGGCACAAGGCACTTTCACGAAATCATCTAACACATGCACAGTATCAAACTCCAAGCCATTGGCTTTGTGCACAGTGCCCAAAATGTACTCTAGAATAAAAACACAGCACACAGTTAGATGAGAGCACCACAGGGGAAGAAACGAGAGAAGGAGAGAAAGTGTATGCTCCTACTTTACTCTTAAAATCTGTGTGTGTGTGTGTGTGTGTGTGTGTGTGTGTGTGTTTGCTATACACAGCTTTGTGGGAAAGGGAGAAAAGAGGAAACTGAAGCTGAAAGAAAAGAGGATGAGGGGACAATTAAAACTGAATTGTAGGAGTACCTCTAAGAATCAGAGTGGAGAAGACACGTGACTTTACACACCCCTTATATTTTTCACATAAAGGGCCACAGGCCCAGAAGAGCATTGCAGGGCTTACCTAAATTTACATGCAGCAGAACTAGAACATTCTATTCCACTGACTTGGAAATACAATAAAAATAAACAGCCCTAAAGGGAGGACGAGCTCTTAAACAACATGCTCACGCAGGTCACAACTATTCACGCAGGTAAGAAACATCAGGAAATAGGGTGGGTGTGTGGCATAGCAGTCAAGTTGCTGCTTGGGACGTCTGCATCCCACACTAGCGCCTCAGTGGTTCAAGTCCTGGCTACTCTGCTTCTGATCCAGATTCCTACTAATGCACAGCCTGAGAGGCACCAGGTGATGATGGCTCAAGTACTTGGATCCCTGCCACTTGCATGGGTGACCTGGATTGGGTTCTGGGCTGCTGGCTTCAGCTTGGTCCATTTCCAGCTGCTGTGGGCATCTGAAGAGCGAACCAATGGACAGAACACCCACTTTTCCCCTCCCTCCCTTGTCCCCTCCTTCCCTCTCACCTTCCACATAAGATGAAAATAAATAAAAATGTTCAGAAGCATCAGGAGCGCATTTGTTCCTCCTCCTGCAGAGAAGGTAAGAGGCATTTTTTTTTTTCCTTACCTGCAAAGTCCAAATCTTCTATATGGCATTTTTCTATCCTTGCTGCTAGTTCTGGAATCCTGATGTTATACTTTTCAACCACTGCAATCTTTGCTTCCAGCTCTTTGTCCTCGGCGGCCGTCACGTATCTCTTGAAGCCACTAAAGCCTTCTTTGTGTACCCATCTTCTGATAAATCTGTCTTTGATGAAGAGGTTTCCTAAGGAGAACACATATATAGGTTAATATGACGCAGGCCACACTAACTGATGGCGGCAGAAGCTGCACATTCCTAACCAACAGCACGATGGTGGATGGTCTTGAAGTTGGGAGACCCAGGTTCTGGTCCTGACTGTATCACTAACTCTGTGTGTCCCTGGGCAAGTCAGTGCAGTAGCCTCTTCGTCTCCAGCTGAGGATCAACAACTCTATGCTTGAGATCCTCACCTACTTTACAGGGATTTGATTCAGTGCAGTCAAAAGCAAAAAAAAAAAAAAAAAAAAAAAAAAAAGAAAAACAAACAGCTACATTTAACAGATAGAAAATGTCTGGAAAATGGCCTACCATCATGAGTCATTTGGTAAGCCTCCTCTTTGCATTCCCCTAGCTTCCCCATGTTGTCTCAGAGTTGGCTTGCTTCAAGGACACCATTCTGGAAAGCAAGAGATAATGGTAACTCACAATTTAACACTTTGGAAAAGACAGAACTCTGAAATTACACTTCCATTTCCACATACAGCAATCTCAGTAAAAGATCATCATAGAATGGTCACAGCAGGCACCTCCTGAACCTCCTAAGGCTTCCTGACAGCCTTTAAATATTGTGGAGGGTCTTGATGCCAAGAAAAATGAGGGGGAAGTACCAAGTCCATGACAGAGCACTGCACAGAGTCACAACAGCTGATGAGCTATCTTTGTAGATTTATTACTGGTACGTAATTCATCAAAAGAAATGATTGTAAAGTTGTGATAAAAATAATAGACTTTTCTACTAGCGAAATCTATGCAGAACCAATAGCCAAAACACAAACACAAAGAAACAAGAAATTAGAAAAGATTCCTAGTCACCACGAAAGATCAGGTTTCAGGACGAGATGATTCAACAACAAGCTCTAATAAGTCGTGAGCAAGTCAATGATGTATCTTATCCGTCACAGAATGAAGTGAGAGGTCTAAGAGCGTACTTCATTGGAGAGAATGCTACATGATCCACTGGGATCACTACGGGGCTACAGTCTCACCCTCTGTCGGCAACTTCCTACAGAGTTCTGAGGACAGAAAGACAGAAAACACACTATACTACTGGAGTACTCACCAGTTTCTCACTCTGTTCCACCATGACTCTTTGTCCTTGGCTGTTCTTACACCAAATAGGCACATGATCGATGGTCAGCTCTTCATCAGCCGAGGCAAAGAAGTTTTCTAAAGTCTTACACACTAGCTTGGCCCTTATGAATCCGCCTTTCCCTTCAGCAAGAACAGAATTGACCATGAAGGGTGTTAACTTGAATAGATTCAACTTCTTCTTCAACTGGTATCTGCAATGTACACACCAAATAAACAGTATTTGACTTTCAAGTCACTGTGGTATTCAGTATTTCCTCCATTCCCTCCAACAACACCACAAAGTAGCTCTAAGGACCACACACACACACACACACACACGAGATAGAAGTTTTTAAATGCCAGAGAAGTTCTGAAAGGTCCACACTTGACTCAAAATGGCTGACAACAGGCTTTTAGGAATTCACATATAACAGTCCAGAAGGTCAGTCAGCTCACAGCGGATACTACTATTCCAATGTGTGGGTCCAGGCTCCAAGAGGCCCCCCAAGGGGGTACTCAATGTGCCTTTAAAACTCCACATCTGGGAAACCTGGGGCAAGCAGACTTCTGCTGAGGGCCCCTGACCAGCTCTCCGAGGAAAGCCTAAAACTAATAAAAATTTTTGACACCTCAAACTGCAAACAAGTCATTTCAACTTTTTGTGCCTCAATTACAGAGAACTGAGAATGCCCTTCAGCAAGATATTATCATTGGTGAGTAATATATTTTTGTAAGATAAAAGTATAAGTCATTAAACCTGTATTTATCTCTGCCTATAAAGGGAGATAACAGCATTACATTTTCTTAATGTCATGATGTAGGTTCATATGCAATCATAAAGATCACGTGAAAAACAGTAAGATATGACCAAGATGCCAGCATTAGTAATGCTCACTTCCGTCCAACGTGTCCGTAGGCCATGGAATGAAAGGTTTTGCAGGTGACATTGCTGGGGAAGACAAGTTCAGCTTGTTTTGCAATGCTCTTGTTGAATGTCACATAGAGAAACTTGCTCTCAGACCACTTCTCTGCATACTTGACAAGGGTAGAGGTCTTCCCCGTGCCTAGGAAAGCCGTGAGAAGAAGATGTAACCCTCTGACCAGGCAACGAATTTTCCTAACCAGGTCTTGCCCAGGCTTATCCTGCCCTGGCAGGAACAAACTTTTCATTACTGTCAAAAAAGGATCAGCAGACTCTAAGCCAGACTAGAGCAGGCTAGGATCCTGGCTCTGCAGATTCTAGCTAAGTAATAAACAGCAAGTCACCTGAGCTCACTGAGCTTCAGTCTGCTCCTCAGCAACACATTGGTAACATTTACTTGTAGGATGTATGAGGACAAGGACAATCATCAAGGCCTCAGAAAGAGGAATTCAGAAAATTATGGCTATTGAAGGCCTAGCAGTCACTTATGCTCCTAAAGCATACACGTAAGATTCAAGACTCTTGTGATCCATTCGAAAGTCTCCTGTCGGCCCTACCTCTCTATTATGCAATTATTCCATTATTTAGTCTGTCATTGATTTAACAAGTATTTATTCATTTATTTTTTGAGAGATACAGAGAGAAAGAGACAGACTGATTGGTTGACAGAAACCTCTCATCTACTGTTTCACTCCCAGATGCCCACAACAACCCCCGGCTGCGGTCAAGGCCAGGAGTTAGGAACTCAATCAAGGTCTCCCACATAGGTGACAGGCATCCAGTCACTTCAGTCATCACCAGCGCCTGTCAGAGTCTGCATAAGCAGGAGGCTGGAGTCAAGAGCCTGAGGCAGGTATTGCTGCCAGGCACTCATACATGGAGTTCAGAAGTCTTAACTGGCTTATCAGCTAATGGCCAAACGCTTGCCCCATTTATCACATATCTATTGAGCATCTACTATATATTCAGCTGTATGCTAAGCACTATCTGAGTGAATTTTAAAATACACATCACAATCTAGTTGTGAAGAAAATCATGAGACTGGAAAGACATGAAGACAAAAAGGTATATATTTTGACACACAGATCCAGTGTCAAATTCTGGCTCTACTGCTGACTTGCTTATGTAAAATCAAGCCAGTCTTTGAGTTTCAATTTCTTTAATCTGTAAAATACATACACGTAATTAACCTTATAGGATGCTGTTAGGGTCATCCAGGCACATTGCAGACAAGAAATGATTGTTGTTAGTGGGATATTTAGGCAGAAAAGAAGCAGGAAAGGGTTCCAGTTAGAGGAAACAGCATGAGCAAAGGTTCAGACAGAAGAACAGCCAAGTACTTTAGGAGACTGTAAGTAGAGCAGCATAGCTGACTGAGATAGGAAAATAGCAAACAATACATTTAGGAAAGTCACTTGGAGCCAAAGGAGGGAGGGCCCCCTAGACATCACTCTTCTTAGGCAGCAACTAGAATCATCTGAGAAGGTGATTAATATGACTCATCTCTAAAGAGAAATATGTGAGTATATACGATGATAAATGATGGACAGGATTAACTAATCCCACTGGTTTCTACCCCACAAACTAATTCCTATGAAACTATTTGTCTAAACAAGAATTCCAATGCTTTTGAGATGATTTGGTTGAATTAGGTTGATAACAGTTCACAGTAAAGATGCTCTGGTCATGGAGTAGGGGGATTGGCACGGTGGTGTAGTGGGTACAGCTGCTGCCTGGGATACCAGCAACCTTATGGACACTGGTTTGAGCCCCAGCCGCTCCACTTCTGATTCAGCTACCTGCTAGCATGCCTGAGAAAGCAGCAGAGGATGGTCCAAGCGGTTGGGCCCCTGCACTCATGTGGGAGACCTAGAGGAAGCTCCTAGCTCCCTGCTTCAGCCTGGCCCTGCCCTAGCTGTTGTGGCCATCTGTGGAGTAAACCAGCAGATGGGAGATCAGTCTCTCTCTGTAGCTCTTTCAAATAAATAATCTTAAAAAAAAAAGAAAAGAAAAGAAAAAAAAATGATGCTGGGGTTGGAAGCAGGAAGGGAACACAGTGATAAAAGGCAAAAAGTTAGCATCATGAACTGATGCTGTATTCCAGGAACCTGATGCAAGCTCCCTTACCTGCAAAGGCCATGATTTTTACCACCTGGAGAGGTTCCATCTTATGATTCAGAATCAGTTGTTGTTCATGTGTAAGTTGGATGGTTGTTTTCTTGCTATAATCATGAGAAAAAAAAAAAAGTAAAAAACGTAATTGAAAAGCCGGGAGGAGGAACTGCCCAAAAACCAAACAAACTTGGATTAATGAAAGTTGCCCCAAAAAACCACTTAAGAGGATAAAAAATGCTCTGAAACTAGATTATGATGGTAGTTGCACAACTCAGGAAATTTTACTAAAAATCATTCGGTACTATATAATCTTAAAATGGATGAATTTTCCATAATATCAATTACACATCAATACAATTACAGTAAAACAAAACAGCTCCACTAGCTAAGTATGAGAAAGAGACAAAATGCATACCTGCACTTTTAAATATACATACCCTGGCAAAACAGATGGCTCCTCTTTACCTCTTGTGGTCTGAGCACAGGAATTTTCCTGAAGATACAGGCAATAGAAAACGTTGTAGTGGATTTTAATAGAAAAAAAAAAAAAAGCAGATACAGACAGTTTCAAATTCAAGTCACAATCTGTACCTTATTTTTCTTCAGATATATGTATATGTAAACTCCTTACCATTTCTAAAAACAAAATACCACCATTTGGGGCAAGCATTAGCTTAGTGGTTAAGATTTTGGTTAAGAGGCCCTTGTTCTATATCAGAGTACCTGAGTTTGATACCAGGTTCTGACTTCTGACTCCAGCGTATGCCTAATGAAGACTCCAGGAGATACTGGTGATGGCTCAAGTGATTGGGTTCCTGTTACCCACGTGGGAGATCTGTACTGAGTTCTTGGTTCTGGCTTTGGCCTCAACTGGGTGCCATGGCAGGCATTTGGAGAATGAACCAGCAGAAGGGAATTTGCTCTCAGGACTGCACACTTGCTCTCTCTAGCTCTCACTTTCTCTCTCTCTCTCCCCCTGATTCTCAAAAACAAAATAAAAACTTAAAAAGAAAACATTACCATTATAGAAAAAAATGGGAAGAAATTAATTTAAATATATATACAGCTGACAAAAGCATTCTTAGAGAACACAGTTCTAGGAAAGGTATGATATTTCTGTGTATCATGTCAAAGGGAGAAAGAAATCAGGACATGCTCTTTAGCCATCATGAGCATCGTGAGCATCATGAGCTGTGACCTTAAAAACCAAACATAGCCAAGAAGCAGTAAGAACCAGTGCTAAGCAGCTGGGCTGGAGCTGGAACCAAGTACAGGACCTTCTCACTTTATCAGGGACTCCTCTTTTCCTTGCAAGGCATTACCTATTGCTGATGTTAATCCCCTTCTCCCTCATGGCATACAGCAGCACAGCTATGCAGTACAAGGTCTCAGTGATGTCTGGCATGGTCACTGTAGAACTGGGTCTCCTGAGGCAGAAGAGCAGTTTCTGGATGTCATTCACACTGCTGGACAGGAGCACGACAGCTGCCACCAGAGCCCAGACATTGACTCCCTGTAGAGTGAGGTGCACAGAGGGGAGGAGAGACCAGACACAGGCTGATCAATACAATTCAGAGAATCAGCGAGGAAAGCCACGTCTGGGGTTTGGGTGCCATCTATAAACTCCCTGAACTATGGGAAACACAGAACCTTTTGTTTTACTTTAGATTGCTTCTCATCAACACTCTTGAGAGTTGAGATCTGAGTTTTTCTTTACCTTCATAACATTTATATAGCATCTAACAAAGAACCTCGCACAGAGATGGACCTCTCAAAACATGAGTTCCATCTCCGCTGCCCACCATTCCTCTCCAGGCACCATGAGCTCTCAGGTCTACAAGTGCTCAACAGAGTACAAAGAGGGCAACCAGCTAATGAGCGACTACCTGGGAGTGGTCTTCAGGGAGGAAATCAAGACCACCAATTCTCCAGCACGATGATGCCAATTTATTATTTATTTTATTATTGAGTAGTTATTAGGTAATATTAAATATTGAAATTTTACCTTGTTTTGTGAAGACAGTATGCTCCATTTGGTAATGTCTAAGGTTCACTAACACATACCATTATCATGTCTATATCATCACAATTCCACCTATTAGGGAATACATTTCAAGAAAGGATAATCCCATGCACCTCTCACTAAAACCACATCTAGCATCTTTAAGCTATCAAAGTAGGCCTAGGCATCATGCTACATTGAGTTGAGCTGTCACTTGGTGTGCCTACATCTCTCTTAAGAGGATGTGGGGCACATCCTGGGTATTCCTTGCTTATGATCCAACCTCCTGTTTAAGCGTATAGGAAGCTGTGGATGTGTAGCATGCTCTTAGGTTCCTGGAGCCACCGGGTGAGACCCAGATGGAAAGTCATGCTGCTTCCCTTCAACCTGGCCCAGTCTTAGCTGATGCTGCCATGTGAGAACTGAACCAGCAATCAAAAGCTCTCTTTCACAGGTCTTCAAAGAAGAAGGTACCTTTCTCTGAAGGGAGGAGAGAACCTCCACTTTGACTATGACCTTGTCTAAACAAGATAAGAGTCGGAGAACTCAAGGGGCTTCCATAGCCTTGGAAACTCATGACTGGTGCATAGGGAGATTACTGATGCCATAAACAGGAGTGTCAATTTGTAAAGTCAACAACAGGAGTCACTGTGCACTTACTCCTCATGTAGGATCTCTGTCCTTAATATGCTGTACATTGAGGCTTAATGCCATAACGAGTACTCAAACAATATATTTCACTTTGTGTTTCTATGGGGGTGCAAACTGTTGAAATCTTTACTTAATGTATACTAAACTGATCTTCTGTAAAAAAAAAAAAAAGAAGAAATTAGCAATTCCCAACTTGACTCTCGCTGGGATTAAACATGACAATAGGTCTGATCTGATTTCATCATCATTTAAAAAATCATGTATTATTTTTCACTTTATGTTTCTGTGTGGGAGCAAACTGTTGAAATCTTTACTTAATGTATGCTAAACTGATCTTCTGTATATAAAGAGAATCGAAAATGAATCCTCATGTGAATGGAAGGGGAGAGGGAGTGGGAAAGGGGAGGGTTGCGGGTGGGAGGGACGTTATGGGGGGGAAGCCATTGTAATCCATAAGCCGTACTTTGGAAATTTATATTCATTAAATAAAAGTTAAAAAAAACCTCTCTTTCCTAAATCAGTTCTTCTGTTTCTGCAATTCTGCCTGCTACATAAAATAAATTTTTGAAATCTGAATTAAGCCCTCAGTGAAATACAATATAATAAATGCTGAGTTGATGATAAAATGAATGTTATTTTTAATGAATTGTTTAAAAAATAAAGTTTCACTGACTGTAACACGTAGTGTATTTAATTCAATGAATACACTTCCATTGGTAGACATTGAGCAATGCAACTGCCAAAGAATAATAGTGAAAATGGTTCAACTTAAATGACTAAGTAGACCTTTAAGTCTCTGGAGGAGTCTGGAAAATCTTTGGGTCTAGAGGCTTGCCCACACCACAGAAATTAAGCTTTGCTCTTGCTCTAACAGGGAGTAATAAGATTAAAAATACATAATATCCTCACAACAAGAAGTCATTGTACTTCAGCAGTTATTGAAATTAATGAAATAAAGAAAACTAATATTTAAATATAAAATGATGTTAATGAATTATGTTGCTATTTCTCTTTACTAATTAGATATAAATACTGAACGTTTACTACATATTATTACAGACACGATTTTGTATAACTTCTTGAAGCAAGGGAATAAAGACATTTTCAGATTGCAAAGCTAGAAGCATTATGGTACAGTGGCTTAAGCTGCCACTCGGGATGCTGGCATCATGTATGAGAGTGCATGGCTACTCGATGCTTCTGATCCAGCTTCCAGTTCATGTGCCCGAATAGCAATGTATGATGTGCAGCTGCTTCGAATCCTGCCCCCTGTGTGAGACCCAGATGAAATTTCAGGCACATGGCTTCTGCTTGGACCAGCTCTGGCTGTTGCAGTCATTTGGAGAGTGAACCAACTGATAAAGAGAAGAACCAGATGAGAGAGAGCTTCTAACTCTGTCAAATAAGTAAAAAACAACTCTTTAAAAATGTGAAATAAACTCTCCGTGAAAGATCATCCTTAAATGCTGAATTCATAAAAACAAATGTTGTTTTGTACCTAACTTCGTAAACGTGTTGCGTTCATCTTACTGTAATATCTATACAGATACGCTGTATTTAATTAAATAATAAGGTCTTTTAAGAGTACTGGAATTAGCAATGCAAATGACAGAAAATGCTAGCAAACATGGCATTACTTGGATCAGAAATGCAGCGTCCACTTTAATAGAATGATCCCAAAGGCCTTTTGTTTGCAAGCTTACCCACACAACAGACTTGAAGCCTGTGTCTCACATAATAAAACACAACATTTTTATTCTACAGACAATAACAAAGGAAGACATTCACAGTGGACTTCACTGAAGAGGGAATTTCATTTTATCAGTGGTATTACCTGTAGAAGCATAGATGTTGTACATGAAAACGTCACATGTCCAATAAATGAAGATGAACACACACCCAAGAAGGAACAAAAAGGATGTGATGGAAGATAAAGTATCCAGATACAGGTATGTCAACACTGGAATTTCAATTTCTGGCTTAATACTGTTTGGCTTTACCTCATAATGTAGATGATGCCAGTGAAATTATATTTTGACTAGACTTTTGGATACTATAGAGCCTAATTGATGTCTAAAATATTTAAGTTAAGCTAGATTCAAAATTTATAATGCTCTTAGCACCTGTTGTAACATATATCTAATCACTATCCTTTCAATAGAGGCAAAGAAATCTGTAAATAGGGTTTGGTCATCCATTTATATAAACCTATCACATGCTCATTTTATTTTGTTTATACTCGACCACCTAAGGATAATCTTCTTACAAAGCATGCTCTGTCATGTGTCTTTCCCTTGAGGGCAGATTGGCGTTTCTAAAGCAATGTTGAGATTATGCAAATAAACTGCTTAAGGAGTGGATGGCCAATTCAGAATGAAGACAATTCATATGGTAGCATGACATATCTTTGGACTTTGTTCTGAATCTCCCATGCAACTTTCATCCAGTTCCTTAGAAGTGTATTTACTATGTTCACAAACAGAAGGGGGTGGGCAGCATTGTGGCGTGCCAGCTCAACTTGCTATCTATGGTGCCATTGAGGAGAAGAGCTCAGCTGAGCAGAATTACTTCCCTTCTGAATAAGAGAGAGAGAGAGAGAGAGAGAGAGAGAGAGAGAGAGAGAGAGAGATTTACCAGGACAAACCTGGGTGTGTCTCCTTTGGTACACCCTTAACCCTGAAGAACTGAATAGAGCTCTCTGGCCACACCCAACACAAGCCTCTAGAGATTCACCAGAAGTAGACAGTCCACTTAATCTAGAGACATAGTATAACTAGAAAAGCCACCACAGTGAAAAAAAAGAAGGAGAAGAAGAAACCAAAGTATATCTCCACAATGCCAAACAGCAAATGCAGAAGCCAAGGAAACAAGAAAAGGAAGACATCATGATGCTCCCAAATGAACATGACACTCCAATACAAGATTATGAAGATGATGAGATAAAAGAAATGCAAGATACGGATTTCAAAAAATGTATGATAAGAACATTTGGAAGTTCTCAAACACAAATTCTTGAACTACAGAAATCCTTACTGGACAGGGTATAAAATCTCTCTCATGAAAATGAAATCTTAAGGAGGAATAAAAATGAAATGAGGAATTTAGTAGAACATGAAATTGAGATATTGAAGAGAAATCAAAATGAAATGAAGAATTCAATAGAAAAAATGACAAACACATTTGAGAGCCTTAAAAACAGAGTCAGTGAGATAGAAGAGAGAATATCGGACATAGAAGACAGAGCACAGGAAAGTATACGGTCAAACCAAACACAAGAGGATATTAGAAATCTAAAAAACACTGTTGGGAATCTACAGGATACTATTAAGAAACCCAACATTCTGGTTCTAGGAGTTCCTGAAGTCATGGAGAGAGAGAAAGGGTAAGAAGGCCCTTTTAGTGAGATACTAGCAGGAAACTTCCAAGGTTTAGCGAAGGAAACAGACATCCAAGTACAGGAAGCACATAGAACCCCCAATAAAGATGACCAAAAGAGATCCCCACCATGACACATTGTAATCAAACTCACCACAGTGAAACATAAAGAAAAGATTCTAAAATGTGCAAGAGAGAAATGTCAGGTTACTCTCAGATGATCTCCAATTAGACTCACAGCAGACTTCTCATCAGAAACCCTACAGGCTAGGAGGGAATGGCAAGATATAGCCCAGGTACTAAGAGAAAAAAACTGCCAGCCCAGAATATTATATCCTGCAAAGCTCTCATTTGTGAATGAAGGTGAGATAAAGACCTTTCATAGCAAACAGAAACTGAAAGCATTTGTCGCCACTCGTCCAGCCCTGCAAAAGATGCTTAAAGATGTGCTACACACAGAAACACAGAAACACGGCCATCAATAT